TTTGGTTGTTGTATTCAAAAGCGACGGCAAAGTTGTAGTCGGTGCCTCAGTCGACTCTGAAGATTGATAAATAACAATTGACCAATCAGAGCGCGCGCTTTACTTTGGTTATGTTATAAATAACAATAGAATCAGTTTGGAACAGTAACTTTATATTTTCGTTTTAAATTTGTGAATTGAAGCCTAACTCCTCATGTTGAGGATTTTTGATAAAAAGATTTAGCTTTTTTTTTTTTTTATAAGGGGACGAGAGAGGGGGCGGCGGCATTACCTCCGGGCTTTGGGCCTCTTTTAATAAAGGAATCAAAGGAAAATAACGCATGCGTTGTAGCAGTGTAACCTTTTTCTACTCCTTTTAAACTTATATGTATCTTAAATATTGTAGTTACATATTGTAGTTACATATTGTAGTTACATATTGTAGTTACATATTGTAACCGAAAATCCCAAGTTGGGAGTTACAATAAACGTATGTATGTATGAAGGTAACCTATCTGGGCTATAGGCCTCTTTTAACAAAGGAAACAAAGGAAAAATAACGCATGTGTTGTAGCAGTTTAACCTATCTGGGAGTAGCCCCTATAAAAAGTTATGTTGGAGATGGCTACCTATTTCGCTAGCTGATAAGAGAAAAATAAAATGGCATATCCGCTCCGATTTCTTAGTTTACGAAACCCAGCCTTTTGTGCTGGGCCGCGTCAAATGCATGCCATGGAGTCTCTGTGAAAACGACGTTTGCTTTCGCATTTAAACTTGTTCAATTTACAGGCTTCACGTCTCTCGGTAGGGAGAGGCATTATTTATTGCCTTTAGGGGGGTCCGGAGGATTTTTTCACGATAAAACTAACCTGATTAACCCTCCTTCCCCTCCCCCCCCCCCAAGAAAAGGCTCTCTGGTATTCTAATGGTGTCGCACGTTGGTAGTCAATTTTGTATAGCCCCCTTTAAAAACTCTGTTAGAGTACACTGATGCTCCTCCGTTCCCCCGTAAAAAACCATGTGATACCCCCAGGAAAAAAACGTCAGACTCACCCCCCCCCCTTTACTTTTTCCCTACCTACACCACCGTCTCCACAGTACAGAAGATCACAATGGCTGGTTGGCGTCAACTTATACACATAAAAACCATTGCACCTCTTCACAGTTGCAGGGCTGGACCACTCACAACAAGAATCAATCCAGTTGAAGCAGACTCTCCCGGAGGAATTTCCACCAACGTTCACTGGCATGGGCCCGTCGTACCAGCCTGGGGAATGGGTACCACATCGGCCCAAGGTGATGCAAGATTCTGGCATCTTTATGCCAGCTGCACCTGTAAATCTGTACCAGCCTAAAACTAACTTGTTGTCGCACTTAGGTTGCTGTGCGCCAAGGAGGCGGTTGAACTGGGAACGAGTGGAGTCTTGAAGCTCTTTGTATGCAATGCATGGATCGTCATCTGATGAAACGTTGGCTGAGAAAATAAATTTAAATTTATTAGTGTGAAAGGATATATCAAAAAAGAGTTTCAGTACATGCACTTATACAGAAGGGAAAAGTCTAACTTTGACCTTCACAAAACTAAGTAGCATGAAAGACCCTGAGAGAAGCTAAAGGGTAATGGTAATGGTAACTTTATTTATACACGGTATTTCCTTCAGGTACGTTTATATTTAAGTAGATAAAACTAACTAAATAAAATACATGAATTGAAGCTCCCCCTTAGGAGCTTTTTAGCCACAATGTAGACTAAGTGCTTAAAAAGTCTCCACTGGCAGGAGGCAGACCAGTGGGCTATTTTCAAAGCGCAGCCGAGGAGTTGAACTGGGGGCAACCGAGAACAAATCCAGTGAGTGGCAGGGTGGAGGACTTGAACCCGGGACACCGGATCCAGCACTCTAGGCAGGGTAACCCAGTCAGCCGGGGTCATAATTTACTATGTAAGTCTAATCAGGAAAACTTAGGTCAGGCATGCAATTAAGTGGGCGGTTAATTAAGGCAAAAATGGGCAACCTGTGGCCAAAAAAGAAAAAAAAAAAACAACCAACCGAAGGGCTGATTTAATTAGGGCCTTTTCAATTTTCATCAGCCGTTCTTGAGATAATAGGGAGCTTCAGCAACCACGACGACGAACGGAGGACGACGACCGGAAGTAGCGGGAACGTCACTGCGCAAGCGCGAACCAAGAATTCCGTCGTCGTCTTATCGTCGACGACTTGAGATGGACCAGTTTCACGTCGTCGCGAACTTCCGAACTTCAAAGCAGTTTTTCTCATCAAAAGGTGCGGCTTTATTGTCGTTTTTTTGACAGTCTATGGCCGGTTGGAGTTTGTATTCGCTTCTTCGGTTGTTTAAACCTCCCTGTTCAGTTTTCTAAACAAATAAAATTCGAAAACCCACTAACTCATTTTCCTTCCTCCGCACAACAGATGTCAAGTCAAGCGGTGAAAGCGACCACGTTAGGTTTAAATTTATTTGAGTATATTTTATGAAAGAGTGCTGTTTATCATTTTTATTGAATGAAAAGGTTTAAATGGCAGTGCAATACACCACTGCTTTCGGTCAAAAGCTGTGTGTATGGAACTGTCGGTTTATTGCTACTAAAACATTTTGCGTGTTGCTGTTCTTCCGTCGAGACGCTTTAAACAGCAAAGAATTCTTTAGATCGGTGTGTCAACATGAGCGTGCGTGAATACCTCTCAGGTTTTGCGAATCTATTTTCGAAATGTTTGATAAAGATCTAGATTTACAGCGATAAAAATTATTCCGACAAAATCACACGGGAAAAAATAGTATTCTTGTTTGAAGCGCGACGACTGATCTGTGCCGATCGCTAGCTAGCATTGATTAAAATTGACAGACTTGCGTCGTTTGCTCGCCAAAGGAAGGAGCATCAAAGGTAGAACATATCAGGCTAAAGCACGTTGAAAATCAAGCAAGCCTTGGGCAAAATAGATTTGTTTATACCAGCAACACTTAGAACTGAATTTAAATCTCGAATAACTTCCGTAAAATTTATATTTTAAACTTTTATCATGCGTAAATTATTGTAAATAAAGCTAAAGCTTAATAATTCCTTGGACTTTTGATGTTCAAGAATTGAATCACGTACTCTCGAACTTCCGATATAGGTGAAAGATTGATCCATGACTGAGAAGAAGGTTTTGGAGGTCTCTGAACGATATCGTTTCCTAAACTGACGAAGCGAGAATAAACGAAAATTTCAGACGTCGTCGTCCTTGAGCAACTTCACTGCTTAAGTTTCATTTTCCCGCTAAAAACGACGTCCTCGTTCCAGACCCTCCGCGATTACTTGACGTCGTCATCGTCCCTTTCGTCGTGGTTGCTTAAGCTCCCTAATAACGTAATAGTAACCGCTCGCGATGCATTATTTCCAAAGCAGCTCTTGGGTGGTAATGCAAAATTTTTCGTTTATATAATTATTTGGCGTCCAAGCTCTTTTTGGGGGAGGTCCAGCTGAGCTGTTTAGACGACAAAATGAATTAAGTGGTGTTTTAGCTTCGCAAATAATTACTAATGGCCTTTTTGGGTTATCTCTCCGACAGGTAGGAAAGGATAAAGCCCTAGGGCGCTTTTCAATTATGCGCTCTGGAGAAACATCATTCTCAATGAGGTAATTTGAGTAGGTGACGAGAGCCTCTTTTTTTCCCCACTTTTAGTGATCTTTCTGACATAGATTATAGCGAATAATTAATGCTGAAGCAATTGTGCAGCACTTTGATTTGTTGACACTCCCAGCGAAAATTGTTTCTTTTATGGAAACCGCTTATTTTCAGAAATCGCATGTCTGATTGATCATTAAGACCAAGGATAAAAGATTGTGTTTGTTGTATTACAAATGTAAAATTGAGGAAATTTGATGGAACAATTAATATACTACTAATTAATTAGGCTGTTTCTACGACCAAGAAAAACAAACTATAGAAACGGTTGTCCTTTGCCTTCAGAAGCACTGTAAAATGTCCAGTTTATCATTACCTCCTGGCCAAAACCCCTAAGCTCATAGCGCTTAAACGATTTCTGATTTTGCATGATGGCGAGAAAACATGGTTGTTGAAAATTTTGTCAGACCATTCAGCTTTTTAAATAGGGAACCCGCCTATGCGTGAGTTTAAACAGATGGCTCTTCAAAGTTTTAGGTTATCCATGTCTATTTTATTAAGATTTCAACCATAAAAAAAAAAAAACAACATTGCCTCCATATATTTCAAGTTCTAAATCAATGATGTTTTCTTTTTTCCCAAAAGCCAACTTTTGCTTAAGAAATCACAGAAAAATGGTCAGAGCCTGAGATTTTCTTTTAGGAAAGATCATTTTCTGTCCTTACCTCTTTGGAAAAAAACTAACTAATGAGAATGGGCAACATGCCAGTATCACAAAAAAGCCGAAAACCAAATGCCGAAAAAAAATGGAAAAAGTACAAACCGAGCAGACCTCAAAAACGGAAAACCGAATAAAAAAAAAAAAAAAAGTACCGAAAAACCGATCTAAAAAAATGTCCCGATAACCGCAAAAACCGAAAACCCTACATCCACTGAGAGTGGCTTTACAAATATAAAGCACAAAAAATGCAACGCGTACTAGTCTTGCCATTAGGAACGTTTTGCATCCGTACTATTCAGCACGTGAACAGAAAGTCTTTTCTTTCCTTTAGTCGCACAGACAACAGACAGAAAAATTTACATTTGACTAAGTTTGTTGTCACCATCCGTCTTTAATTGTTTGTCTTCACCGAACGACTGGAACCCATGTCCATTATATGAAATCCCCAGGAAATTTCGCTCAAAGCTGTGCAAATTGAAACTTTTGGTTATGGGAGCCAAAGCTAGTAAATATTTAACCGTCATTTGGGATTTTTGCCATTGTTTTGCAAATTTTCTTCGCAAGTTTAGACATCTCAGACGGCTTGTTGTTTTCGCACAGTTTCCTCGCGTGTCGACTCTTCGTGTAAGCCCAAAAATTACATTGTTGCAAAAATGTGTATACTAAACTTCTGATGAAAACTATTGTTCAATAATGTCTAGCAGAGACACTAATGAAGACTGCGAGAATCTTTCGGTCAATCTTTGTTCAAAGATTGACCGAATCGAAAGATTCAAAGGTCAACGTAACTCGATCGTTGGTAAATAAATCGCTCTGCTGTATTCTGTCTTAATCTTGCTTGAAGTCTCACGCGAGAAAAAAATATTGTTATAAATAAATAGACACGAGAATTAAATTAAAGTGAAACTTTCACTGACATTTTACATTTATGTTGACAATTCAGCGGATTAGTCGAGCAGACAACGAATGGTGAGGTTTTAGAACGATTTTTTTTAAGCGGCTCAACGCACAACATTTTTGAGTCGTTTTAATTTTCCCATCCCGAATGTGACAGATTATTGCAGTCATTAGACCAATTTCGAGGCTGATTTTGCGCCTGATTTACGACACCATTTGTTCGACCGTATAGTTAGGCTCTCTCTCTTGAAAAATACCAAATAATTACCACATAAAACGGTTAAAAGGAATGACCTCGGCTAAAAGTCTTCTCGCTAAGGGGTACAAAAGTCCTTATATCGAAGAAATATAATATTTTGATTCCTGAGTTTGGAAAAGATGAGAATTTTTTTTGAAACAAATTTCATGTCCAACTTGTCTCGCTGTATTCTGCAATTTGCCTCAATGCTGTCGCTTTTCGCTGTTTAGACCCCTTGAGCATATGTACTTCCTGAGAATATCTCAGTTGCGAGGTAACAGTTTCATTTCGATTCCAATGAATAAAAAGTCTACTGTTAATAAATCTCTGCAGAACCGAAATTGTTTTGCTGCTTCGACCGGTTAGAATCGATAGAGTCAACAAGTTACTTAACAGTGATATCGGTTGTCAAGAAAAATATTTGAATTCTCAGACGATAGACCGCTTCGCAGCAAAAAACAGCTCGATAGCGAATATTTTAAATGGTGAGGCGCGAAGAATTCGCTTTAGAATAAAGGCGGTTTAAAGCGATACCTATATTCTCCTTTTCTGAAATGTTTACTCACCTTGTACGGAATTGGACAGCTCGCAAAACGATAGTACTATTCCGACAAGTAAGGGAAACATTCTATCCTGTGTCTAATAGTAACAACTAGTAAAGTGTTGATCTTTGTCAAGCCGTCAAAACAAGGGTTGAGGGTTGCTTTATGCAGATTTCGCGTTCGGCAACGCTTGCATTGTAAATAAGATCGACACCTCACGCAACCTTTATTTACGCTCCTAGCCTTTAATTTATTCAACTTTCCATTCTCTTTTAGGCTCAAAGTAACCCTTTATTTTACGTAACTTGACTTTTACTGTGAAGTGAAGTGGTTTGGTTAAAAATGATAACTGAAACGAATTCAGCCAGCCACCTTTTGTCCGGTTTAAAAAAATACATTAGCATGCATGCCAAAAACGATTTATGCACGAAATTCATCGTCCAGAAAACAAAACCGCAATGTCATTAGGTGATGCTGGCGTGGACGTTTGTTTATAACAGATCAAATCTATTTTCTTTGACCAAACTGGTTCCCAGCGTCCTCTCAAGCTCTATTTGCCGCCTAGCCAGGGAAAGAGACTAATTCGTGCTTCTTTGTATTTATACCAGACGAATCAACGACGTTGGAGATACTTCGTGCGTCGTCGATGCCTAGGCGAAACGACTTCCAAAAAAGACGACAGCGTGTTCTTGCAAGACGGGAAACTTTTGTGATTGTGACAATGAGTTGGCCGGTCTGGCGGTCTGATATACATATTTAAATAAATAAATACATAGGTTAACAAACAAAAAAGCCCCTCTGATAACTAAGAGTTTTCCTCTCAGTATTTCATAAACGCCTCATTACAGGTAATAGAGCTCTTTTCGATTGAACGTCGTAAAACTAAAACTAATGCAATAAGAAGGAAAATATCTGTAAGAGCCTATGACAACTAAAAATAAAAACAACCAAACTCGCAAGAGCGACCAAGACATGATTGGTTTTAGTTCTGCTTCTGTCAAAAACAAGAGAGTTAATTTGCGCAAGTTTTTCGGGACCAATCACATAGCCGTAAGTGAAGGAAAACCAATGCAATCTTGCAGGGGTACTTTCAACACTCAATTAAATATTTTTAAAAATGCATATAAGAAATGCTATTAATTTTGCGTGACGAGAAGTTACCAGTAAAGTCTGTAGTTTTTTGTTTGTTTTTCTTGTCACCCAGGCGCTCCGAATAAGGTCTGGTTTTTAACCTTAACACCCTAACATCGGTATGCGAGTTCTCCTTAATGTTCTCTACGAGGAGAATTTGTCCAAGAATCAAAGACTTCCTCACGCGTTTGCCGTGAGTCGTTTCCCTCTCGCGACTTGATTCAGGGGTCATTCAAGAGACTGTAAACTAGTATATTATCCGCTCTGGGAGAAGTCAGATACTGGTCCCTCTTGGGAGTTCAAGGCTTAAATTTGTTTTGTTCCCGTTGAGTCACATATCGCTATCAAAGTTCTAAAAAACATGCGTAGGCTCATGTTTTTGTTTTGTATGTCGGCTTTAGGAACTAGTTGAGGAACTGGTTGAGAAGCATGTAAAAGCACTGAGTGGGAGGGTTAACACGTTTTTTATTTAACGAATTAAGTAGTCTTGACTGTGCTCTGTTCTGTTGTAAAGCACACAGGAAGCGGCTAGAGCACGAAAGAAGTGTAGAGGGAAACACGAGTATTTTTCGGTACGTCTTGAGTCGAATTCAACACTTTTGCCTTTAGCGTTTTAATCCAAACACATAAATTTAAACTATGATATTCAGTGAAGTCCGGCCAAATAGTGCCGGCTCGTGAAAAGCCGAAATTTTTCTAACATGGAAGTTAAAAGACAAAAAATGCCGAAGGCGTTTGTTACATGTATGAACGACAGACGAACTTGACGGGAACACGAAGATTGCTCGGGTGACAGTGTCCATAAAACTCAGTTGCTGTGACTAGATGTGGCCTTCCACTAAACGCATCCAAAAGGATACTAGAACAAGCTCTTAGTTCTTCAATTTAAGAGTGGATGATGTAATCTCTGAGGTTTGCTTTACTGCAATGACCGGAGATCACCAAGGTTAGCAAGCTGCGAGGGACCACATTATGATCGCAGTCGCTCTGACAACATGATTTTCATAAATTTTTAACAGTTATTCCGGCTTGCTTGTATTGAAAGTTCACTTTCTATCCCCTGATAATTTGCGCTGTTACCTACAGTTTGTTCTGTATCAATTGAAGCCAAGAGCTCGTTTTCATATTCATTTTTACTACAGATCATGCAAAACGTGCGGGTCAATTAAATAACCAAAAAAAAAAGCTAAAGAGAAGTCTAGGAAATGGTCGGATATCGTACAGATTGGCAGATGGCTTGACAGCTTTGGCACCGTGTTTTGTACTCTGATAAAACACGTTTTACTCAACCATTTAAACCTAACTATAGTAAATGCTTTGAAAACTGCCTTTTACACGACAAATGTGACGTACATATAAAATTTCACGTGGAATGAATGTAAAACCGTGGGAAGATCGTGCCTAGACTCTACCGCTACGAAATAGGTTGCTGGTTTGTTTAATCCATGAACTTGAAGGAAATGAAATAAGGAAGTCATTTGAAAACAGCGAGGGAAAATTTACTTCAAATTGATTAAAAAAAAGCTCGAATCGGACAGTTGCAAATTTCATCATAAAAGCACTTTAAAATTCCATTTGATTCTTTAAGAAAATGGACAAGCTACAGTGCCAAAGCCAATACTCGTTCAAGTGTTTTTTTTTTATTTAATCATTCTCAGTCGCTGCACATCAGACATGTCTGCCCACCTTCCGGAATTCGTTATGTTTGAGAGCCGTATATGTAGGGAAGTCGAACGGTCAGTCATCTTGATTGAATAATTTTTGGTTGTTGTGTCCTCCTTCTTCGAAGACCGCTTGGAGGGCATAGGACAAGGCACGTTTCGACACTAAAATAGTCATAGAAACATATTTTGCGCATTCAAGTGTCAAACTCTAATCCCTTGAAGACTGAGAAACAGGTATTTTCAGGATAAAAACGTTAATCACTCTTTCATTTATTCATACTTTCAAACGCATTCATTTAGAATTGAACTTCACAGAAGTGTCATGTGTCCGCAGTTACACATTTCTTGTGTTTGATATCATGAGCTACAGCAAAAGGAATGATTTTTGATAGCAAGAGTAGTAGGCATGTTTAATTCTTTCATAAACATTTTCGTGTTTTTGTCTTTTTTTTTTTTCATAAGTTAATTTTGTCGGCAAGTTCTATGCGTTTGTAGCAAGCGTTTAAAGCCTAGCAACCGGACGATTCAATTTGAAGTGGACCTATGAGTTGCAAAAAAATTGTCTGGGAATCTCTCAATGCCAGACAACTTTTTAAGCCATAAACGTATGTTTTTGCGTAGGAAAAAAAGTCTGAGTCGTTTTGCAAGCTAGCCATCCCTTTCCCTGATGAAAATCGATTTTTGGTGAGGTGCAGTTAGTTAAGAATGATGAAAAAAAAGAAAAAAATCTAAAAACAGTGCAATTCGAAGGTGTATCACAAACCATAATCGATTTGAAACCCATAGCAGTCAGACCTAAACAATCAAAAACTAAATTCTTTGGTGTTACATATATATATTTCAGCCTCTTCGAGGGCATTTAATTTACTCCCCGCCGCATGAGTTTTCAAATTAAGGCAATAAACTATTGTGCGTCATAATTTCATTAAAGCTGTGTTCTATGCACTTTACGTGAAGACCTAATTTCGCAGGAACTGACGTCTTTTTTCACCAGAATAAACATTCGCAAAAATTGGAATTTAAATTTCAATCAGCAATTCCTTTCGCTCAAAACAAACGAAAATTTGTCTGAATACGAGTACCGAAGCCGTCATTCAGCGGGAGTGACGAATCAAGCTTCACAAAAACACATCACCTTACTTTATAAAATGGAAGAAGCTGTGGTCCTGGTGGAGTATGACCGTTAGAAATTGTAGAAGCTTTGATGGACTTTTGTTCGAAACAACTTTGGAATGAAAAGGAGTATTATTTTTATTTTCACCTGGAACGAGGCGGAATTCTTTAAAAGACGTTGAGTGTGATGGGAAAGCTCCAAATTAATAATACGTTCGATTGATAGACACAATCAAATTGACTAACCACGCAAAAATCCGATAATATCGAAATAGAATTAAAATTTATTTTAAATGTTCTCTACTTAAGGGGATAATTCAAAGACCGAGAAAAAGCAAGATTAAGAGGGTAGTTTACCGTTCAAGTAGTTTTCTTCCCTTCAAAATTGCTCATGCTTGTGTCGAAATCCCTTTTTCCCCATTTCTTTTAAGAAAGAAGCGAATCGTTTTCGTTTAAAATGTTGACAGTTTTGAAGGAGAAGGCTGAAAAGAAAAATTAAAACTTCAAGCAGTTATTGTTGTAAACATCCGCTGTTTTTTCCACTGTTCATTTCCATGATTTTTCGAAGAATAATCGATTCGAAAATCACATAATTATGATATCGCATCAGGGTTTTCACATGTCAAAAAATATTATTCTCATATATAAACATCAGAAAATCATAGCAAGATAACACATAGCCAAAAAAAAAAAATTGTCATATGCTGGTGTATTTCATGGCGTGGCCAGGGTAAAAAAAAAAAAATATAAAAATATAAAGCTTCCTTGAAAGAAAAACTGTTACTGTGTACTCAGGAAATGAAAAAACAAAAATATTTTAAGGTCAAAATAAATGCATTTATTAAAGTTCCGCGTTTCCTTTCACTTGAAGGTACTTGAATGTTGTTACTGAATAAATTAACGATGCGGAAATGTTATTCACCCTGTTATTAAAGTTTAAAGTTAGCGCCTTATACATATCCTTTGTTGTGAAAAATAATCTCCTAAAGCTCTGCTGATTATAGAAAGATGATAATTTATAGATTGGTGCCCTCCTAGCACAGGTATTTTTTTTCTTTTTTCTCTGGCCCTTCAATTCCCTCCCCACTCTCTCTTTCTCTCTCTCTGTTATTCCTATTAAACCTTCTTCACCTGAACATGCACTAGACTTGAAATGGCAGAAGCCTTTAATCGATTAGGCTCTTATATAGTGATGGGCGAAGTCCAACTTCCTTGTTTATTATGTTTAAGTTGAAAAGATCAAGCCTGTAACAAATCTATTTCATCATGTTAGCATGTATTTGCGGTTTGTGAAATACGTGACATCTTTCATTTGCAATCTGTCATATTGGATCGCTCCTTTGAACATCTTACTTATAATATGCTTATCACGTGAATAGTTTGTTTCGCTGTTTGCTTTAGGCATATCCCACGGCTAAGTCTGTCCACCAACAAACTCGATTAAGTGGAAAAAAGACTGAAAACAGAAGAAATTAGTTTCTGGTCTGTTTTCAGTATCACGAGCAGAATCAAGATCTTCCCTCGCAACTTCCTCTTTTACTGAAAATTAGAGTGCTTACGCGAAGCTGTCTGCTATCTCAGCCAATTGAATATGGGCTTTCATCTAATCCCAAGTACGCCATCTGGGGTTATTCCTATCGTAATTAAAGCTTTCTTTTGTTTTCTAGCAGCAAGGTGTCACCGATGTTGAGAGATCCATTTTCGGCTCACTCTGTTGAATCTGGTTATTTACGCGATGATCAAGCCACTAAATGAAAGCGTAGTGGATAAAAGTTGCACACACTAAACGTTAACTTCATCACAAACACAGGGATCGTCTGCACTGAACACTGAAACCCGGCTTAGCTTTTGGACATGCACTTTAAAAATGATGATGCAACCGTCATCCTTCTCGAATGCCTCAATCAACACTTCGATTGTACAACCTGCAGTAGCAAAGGCAACACATCAAGATATCTTGGCTCTTGAGTTTAAATCCAGACCTCTCTCGTTGATAGTATTGGAGTCATTTGTTCTCCTTTTGATTGATTTTGTGGCGTTTTTGGGGAATTCAATGGTCTGCCTCGCCTTTTACAGAAATTCCCGTCTGAGGATTATTCCAAATTACTACATTATTTCTCTAGCGCTAACGGATCTGCTAACTTCCGTGTTCTCTTTGCCGTTTTCGGTCGGAGCGCTGATTTTAAGCAGGTGGCCTTTCAGTGAATGGGTTTGTCAACTGCAAGGCTACTGTGTATTTGCTTTCAGCATCGCTTCCTTACACACAATGGCGCTAACGGCTTGCAACAGATATATCCGAGTGGTTCACTCTAATTTTTATCCAAGCCTTTACACTTCCAAGCTAACCAAGACTACAGTCTTTCTTGTCTGGGCATGGGCTCTCACCTGTAGCGCTCTCCCTTTCATCCTTGGCCTTTCGACGTTTAAATTTCACCCTGGCACCGTTATCTGTTACTCCACTCCATCATTTACGCCAGCATTTATTGCCCTCTTCACCAGCACGCTTATCATTAACATACCTACGCCAATGGCGGCTGTCATTATTCTCTACCAAAAGGTATTTCGCGCGATTAGTCGTCAACGTCTCAGGGTGTCAACCGAGGGAGGATTGAGGACTAGCAGCAGTGTCGAAGACATAAGAATTGCCCAGTTGTTGTTCGCAGTATCCTTGGGGTTTTGTATTTGCTGGGGACCGGTTATGGTCGTGGAGTGTATTCGTTTCATAGATATGTGGCACGTACCGCGCCAAGTGTACCTTGTAAGTACTTACTTCGGAGCAACCAGCAGCGCTATAAACGTCTTCATCTATGGAGTCATGAACAGAGCCTTTCGTGTAGAGTTTGTCAAGATTTTGTGTTGTAAAAAGCAACTTTAAGTGAGGTACTGACGAAACCGTAAGGAGTTAAGGAAAACAACGCAGAAGATAGTACTGTAATAACGTAACGCGAGTGTAGCGAAACAAAACGATTTAATTAATAGTTAGCAGAATAATATCTCTGCAAAATAAATGTGTTGTAAGTCTTTTTTTTTATTGCTTAACCCTCCTATGAAAATATGAACGGGAATTTTGGCGGCATATTGTTTACGTTTCATATCTGAGCTCAAAAGTACATAACTGCTGAAGGGCAGATCTGGTGACGTGGATAGACGGCTAAATGGTGTGTGGGTGGGTAGTGAGTGGGTGGGCGAGACAGGGATTCACTAAGAGGCTGAGAGGGTAGGATGGTCTCCTTTTCAGTATAAAGTACTAATTTAATTGCTCCGGTGATTATAGAGATGCGTGCGCTCTGATTGGTCGAGGATTGCGTCATATCTTGTAAATCACCTCGTGCGAGGTGATTATAGCAGGGACACTAAATTTCAAAATGGCTGCTTCGCGTTTGTTAATGTTACGCAGGAAGTAGTAAACGTGGTAGAGAAAAGATACAATTTTGAAGAGCACAAAAGATGCTAACAGGTTTGGCGTAACACTTTTCAAAAGAAAGGCATGAAGAGTTTTCTCGACGGAATTAAATGAACCTTTTAAGTTCAAGTGAAAACTTTCTAATATCTCGATGCATAAGTGAGCCAAACGACTGTTACATAATATTCAAGTTATAAAACGAATTTACAACAGAGTTCGAAAGCACTTTGGCATTTATACTTCGACATTTATTTATTTTGGGCTCAGTGAAGATTCTCGAATATTCCCCTCGACGAAGATTATCCAGGAATATTCGCTTAATTTTCGGCGAATAATTATTAAAAACAGACCAACAAATAGAAATATGACACTGTGAATAAAAACGAGAGAAGAACAAAAACTTGGTTTAGACTTATGCCATTGAAAAATAAAAGTGCCTTCTCGACAACTCTCTTTGAAAATATTTACGATATTACCATGTGTTTAGCACAATTTCAGAATAGTCTTTTCCACAAACTAAACCGCGCAATAGTGTTTAACGATTTGTGGTTAATGTTATATTCCTCGCCATTGTTGATTTAAACAGCAGCTGAAATGCGATTCGTACATAGAAAGATAAGAAAATGACGCGTTCAAACCCTACTGAGCAGATGTCTTTTAGATTGGAACTCTTGATCCCTACAGTATCAACGAACGCTTTTCATTCAACTTATTTATCGTTGTGATTTTTCACGTTATCATGTTCCTATCACTGATTATAGTCCACCACTAACTTTTCTCCGTTTGTTATTGATTTAAATTGATCCCTTGATGCGATAGTGTTCATCCATGGATAGAGACTCTATCAACCCTTATAGTTCACCGCTAAATTTTCTCCGGTTCTTGGTTTAAATCGATCACGTGACGCGATAGTGTTCATCCATGGATAGAGACTCTATCAACCCATAATGCCTGTCCGCGGAAAATACCCGGATGGATAGTATTCATCCGTGAAAAATTTTGAATGGTTTGACGGACGAGAAGTTAGGCAGATCAGAAAAACAGTGACTTTTCAATTCTGACAGGTATAACGTATTATTTAGCCACTGTACGGTTGCGAATTATTGACATTTGTGATTGGCTGTACGCACGAATAAATATTTAATTGATCTGCATTTAGTGGGATTTGACCGTTTTTCAACTGGCCCGCGGAAGAAAATTTAATGGTGAACAATAAAGACAATAGAGTGTTTACGTCTCAGAACTATCGGTCTGATAGTTGCCCCTTGGAAATTTGATGTTCTTAAAACTAGCATGTTTGCCCTCTAAACTTCGCTTCTCGGGCAGATATTTGTTTTAAGAGCATTAGATTTCCGCGGAGCAACTATCAGCCGATAGTTCCTCGACATAAAACACTTTATTGTTTAAACAGCGTATATAGCTCCATCTTTCTGCATCTGTAATATCCAGTCCATTCCAGCGGTGCCGGTGGTTCGGTTTGCGCATGCGCGTGAGAATCGCTTGTGGTGCCCAACTGTTTGTTATCATTCAAACAGCCATTTATTTTGTGAAGACTCTCTGTTGTTATATTATATAAACCAGACAAAACCCTCAATTCATCTATTCGATCGGACGAAGGGCTAACACTCGAAACGACAGCCTTATAAACTCTCTACAGTAGCCTATTTACATTTATCATTCAGTTAGTCAAACCAAGTTTTCATCTACAGAAATAAGGAGCCAGCTTTGGAAAGACTGAAGTTTAAAAACTTTGATCCAATAGGAAATTGGCTTTTATGTTTTTGTGGTACCATCTATCCCCAATGCAGAAGCTTTACAGATAGTATTTAGTGTTCTATGACAAAAATTTCGATCGCTGCAGAACCTTTCCCAGTTTTGCTATGAATGGCATGTGACAAAAAACGCTACTTTCATTCTTAAGTCTCTTTTCTGCTTGAATGTTTAAAACCATCAGCGAGAAGTGTAAATTGTTAGAGCGAATCAATCGTTTAGACGGGTCTGAGCGGATTCAAATGGTTAAAAAAAACGCTACTTTCATTCTTAAGTCTCTTTTCTGCTTGAATGTTTAAAACCATCAGCGAGAAGTGTAAATTGTTAGAGCGAATCAATCGTTTAGACGGGTCTGAGCGGATTCAAATGGTTAAAAAAAACGCTACTTTCATTCTTAAGTCTCTTTTCTGCTTGAATGTTTAAAACCATCAGCGAGAAGTGTAAATTGTTAGAGCGAATCAATCGTTTAGACGGGTCTGAGCGGATTCAAATGGTTAGTATTACAAACCGTTAAAGCCGGTGTCTACCATTTCAAAAGCAAGAAATGCAAGGATTTTCATTCGCCCAGCGATAAAGTCTATTCCTAAAAGCGTAATTCCCACAAGAAGAGAAGTAAAGATCTGAGCTGATATTATATTTCATCAAATAAATGATTTACTGCAATCGATTAAGCATTGCTTGCAACTAACACGCGTGGATCGCCACACCTTTTCTTAGAGAGGGGAGGGTAGAGGTATATTGGCTTGTAAATTCTAGTTAGGCCGAATTGGGCTCACTCTGGGATCTTATGCAGCAGTAACTTTAGGCGATTTTGGGCGATTTAAGAAAATTGGTTAAAAAAAACTTTGCGACTGAAGGCGATTCAAAGCGACCTTAGGCGTCGTAAGTTTTCAGTAGACCGCCATAGTAAGCCGAGGACAATTGTTACTGTGAATTAGACAACTGAAAAGACAAAGCAATAATCAAGTTTTAATTTGTTCCAAACAATTCAGACTGTAAGGGTTGCAAATTGTTTAGAATGGAGTAATTTTAAAGCTTCACCGTTTGTCCTACGATGAAGCTACTTCCAACATGGATCGCGACATTTCGACTGCATGCTACCAGTCTTCTTCAGGTGACGAGAACGATGGATTTCCTATCGGCTCAAACAACTGCTCTCCCTCGTTGTAATTATTCGATTCTCACCTTTTTGAGAAAATGAGATCGTGATTATCTTGTGAGACAAACGATGATCAACAACTTTTCACTGAAATTAAAATGGAGGTGCCTGATGGTCGCCTTCTACCAGGCGTGAAGAGACGGGATTAATATCTACCGACACTTTGGCGAATAGTTGTGTTTTCGTAGACACTACAATGATAGTGAGAAAAAATAGCACAAGAATATGATTTTAACTCAGTATATTTCCGAAACTACTCCAATTTTTTTGTGAATACCTGAAGTTATCGGAGTTTGAGCGGCTAATCAGAGCGCCGACGCTATCCTCTGTTTCATGTATGTGTGAATACATAATAACTAGTACACTTTCCATCATTCAGTCGGGAATCGGAACCCAAATTAAGGAATAACGTTGATCTATGGACTTGGGAGTTGTTTAGCGAGCTATTGTGCTTCAGAACCATTTTACCTTTTCGCAACGTACATCACGAAATGCGTTAAAAACCAACCAAAGACTGCGAAGCATGATGCGTAACAAGTAGCCACTGGACTGTGAGCCTCATTAAGGGTGGTTGCTTCGTTAGGCAAGCAAGATTACTCGATTAATTACCAGCCTTTTCAAGACAATGTGTCGCCTCAACCTTTTAATGATATCTAGACTGGAGTTGCGATACCGGCGCCGGAAAGAAATGTACTTCCAAAAACATGATGAATTAACGATTTGTAGAGTCGTCCGACGGGAATAGCTTGTTTCGAAGATTCAAAAGAACCTCTCTTGATTAATATATAGTCAAAATCATTAACGCTTCGATCGACCTCTTTGCATGGTTACTTAGTACAAAGAAGTCTAAAAAACAAATTTGATTACTATGACGCAACTCGCAAATAATAAATCAATGCCGGTTATCGGGTGCACTTGATATCCCTTATGAACCAGTGTAAAAGATGTTTTGAATTTTTCCGGGTCCTAACTTCAAACGTTGACACCCGTTGGTCGAAGAAATACATTTCATCGTGGTTAAAACACCGCTCGAATTCTTCAGGTAAGTAAAGAATCGCGCCCTGTTCATGAGTGAAGCACGAGTTTTTTTTTTTTTTAAAAAAAAAGGAAAATTACTGTACATAATTACTGTTAAAGTTTTCTGTGGCACTTCACAATTTGAACAATTTTTGGAAGACAGCAAATGATCTTATTTCTGTTTGTTGTCCTATCTGTTCGTTTCTAAATATAAACAGTTTTGCATCATCTTTTTGCTCGGTATACCATAATATTTTTGCTCGGTATACCATGTACAAATCACTGTAATGCAGCATCGTATTGTCAAGAATCAAATACGTTGATTTTTTTCGTTGAAAGCTGAAGGGAAACGAAACTTGCACGAGATTAGTGTTTGATTTTCTTAATTGAAATGCCAATTTTTTCGCTTTAAAATTAAGTTCATTTCAAACTAGTAGGCTCTAAACTTAAGGAAGGATGAAATTTTTACTAAGGGCAGGTTGGAAAATGTCTTATCGAGTTCTTTAAAACGTGCAAGTAATTTCTATTTTAATCACACACTCCCGCTTGCGGTCACTTGCGCTTACCGACAGTTACACGCGCTTGTATCCCTTCAAATTGCTACTGGGGGTGAGGCCGAGAATAAGGTTCAGAGACAAAATCCAGAGGACCGTAAAAGAGCAAAGCGAAGCACAAAAAAGTAGAAGAAAAAAATTGCAGTAAAAAGGAAAAAAAGTAGGAAAGATCGCATAAGGCCTATTTTTTCATCTGCTATTTTGCCATCTGTTACCGGAAATTTTTTTCTTCATTTTAAGGACCAACCGCAATTTACCAAGGGGGGGGAGGACCTAGGAGGATTCTGGTTATCCTCACGAGAAAATTTAGGGACCAACCGTTACTTATCAAGGCAGGGGAGCCAGGAGAATTTTTGCATGAACATTTAGCTGATTCCCTCACATTTCCAGCTAATTAAGACAAGTTTTCTATTGACCCCCTCCTCCCCCCCTTGGTAACGAATGATCTCTCTTCCGGTTGATCCCCAAGAATAGATATAGGGTACGTTATTTTTTTTTTTAATTTTCCGTCGGGTTATTATCCTTTTGTTGTTGTTGAATTAGAATGTGTGGAAAACACCTATTTGAGTGATCGTCGTGTAGGGAGGTTAGCAACTCGCTTGATCGTTTAACGAGAGGCACCAAGACTCTGGACTCCTCTTTTTATTCTTTCCTCGAGAGCTACTACAGCTTCGACTTCCTTGCTTTAGATCTTCTCTTCTCTCTCTTTCTCCTTCTCCTCTAGCGAGAGGTACCAACGTTTTAAGTAGGAAAACCGTAGATATGTTTGGGTTAGCTGACCGTGAGAGTTTCCTTAGTGTATCCGTTTATCTTGCAAAAAGGATGAAACTAGGTGGTCCTCACCGAAGCACTCTGACGGGCAACAAGGAACCAATTGAACACTAACAGCTGCGCACAGGAATCCCGCACGCAAACAGGAACTTCAGTCGCAGGAAACCAACTTGCGCAGCTGTTCGACCTTACAAATGCGACGATTCAATTACCCCGGGCTGGCATCGCATGGAGGAACCAGTTGGTAAAAAGATTCCGACCACATGTGTGGAGAACAAGATATGTGGTACATCTCGAGCTGGATGGATGAATGGTGTCCATCCTAGTGTGGAACAAGGCGTTGTTAGCAGAAAGGTATTTTCAGAACCTATGATGATTGCTGCGATAGATTTGTTTGGATTAAAGTGAGAAACTGCGGCACTTTCTATTTATAGCGAGTGTTTGTCCCGAGGCTTACTGTGCAACTGACTGAGTCGTGTCTGGGACCCCCTACAAAACCATCTATCCCAGAATTTCTGTGCAACCAACTGAGTTGGGTCAGTGGTAACAATCTGTGCCGAGAATAACTGGGATCACTGTGGCAAACCCTGATCTCCGAATTCCTCATCTAATCCGAGTCTAAAGATATTGAGAAGACTACGAAGTACGGTCAACTGAGATTAGAGCTGACGCACCGATACCCTGCGTATAAGGTCAATCAGTATAGCATCATCATGGATGTCCTTGGGGGCTTCTCGAAAGAGGATGAGATAAATATTAAAGAGCTTGTAGGAGACAAGTGTGAATCAATTATGCACCAAATGCAAAAGGCAATCCTGTCTAGTTCATTACACATTGCTAGAATGTTCAAGCTGAGCGTTTAGACATCTTAAGGAATTTTGGACACCCATTTTGACAGAAATTTTATCTTGTACATTTTCGAGATGTTGCTGCTTTTCAAATGCAAATTTCTTTGTTATCATACTAACTAGATACAGGTCTCTATCACAACAAGGTCACCCTTAGCCTCATTACTGTTTAAAGGCTTGGCCACCAAGCCCACAACCGTAAAAAGGACTATTAACACGTCCATCTTTGCTCTGAGCATCCAGACGTTTGTACTGCCAATAATAATAAAATAGGTTAAACGATACAAATGACAATGCGGTTAATGGTAATAATAATGACGAGAGTAATAATGAGGATGATCATGATAATAATGATTCTATTAAAGATTGTAATACTGGTAATAACACTTCGAATCTGCATTAATCACTACTCGCTAATAATATTGATTAAGTAATTCATTATCGTGAATATAGTAACACTAATTTTTATCATTAAATTTTAGTCAAATAAAAAACAATCTAGAAACCAAATGATAAATTACGTTGATAACGATAGAAAATGAAATTATATATCAATAATAATGATGATGATAATATATATCAATGATGATAAGAAAAATGATAGTTTGGATAACAACAACAAAGAATAATGATGAAAATCGTGCCTCTGATAACAATTATGGTAGTAATAATAACAATATTAATAATAATAATTTTAATGGTATTTAATAACATTAAGAAGTTACCAGTTTTTGGGTTTAAAGTCTTTTAGAAATACAGCAAAGTATGGCGAGTTCTTGTTGTTTAACCCATGAACAATGGGGTGATAAACTCTTGCGGCGCCATCCTGGCAATCTAGGGGGGGCACAAACCCTTTAACCTCTGCTTCATGCTGGGCTTGGTGAAATGGACGTTCGTCAGTGACCCAGCCGGTGTCTACAGCTGTCATGTAAATTCCGTCCATCTGGAACTCCAGTCCACTGGTACGGGTCATCATATTCAAGGCTGCTTTGGCCATGTTGGTATGTGGGTGACGGTGACCTTTGTTGATTCGTGAGAATTGTCCCTCCATGGCAGAAACGTTCACGACGAACTTTCGTTGAAAGGGACTCTGTTTAAGGAGTGGTTTTAGTTTCGCTGTCAGGATGAATGGGCCTACAGTATTGATGGTTAGAACTTGTAGAAGCTCTTGTAGTGGAACTTCATCCAAATTATATGTCCAGCTGTTCCTCTGTCGAATGTCTAGTTGCTCACCATGTTCGTCTCTCTCTTCTGATGGAAAATCATTTGAACTCGTTTTCCAAGGAAGGGCCTGGTATCGTTCTGGGGTGGAAATCATCGAATGGAATTGTTCAAGAGCATCTTCTTCATTCACGACTATATTGTTCTCATCTTTGGCCAAGTCTGGCCATTGCTTTACTTCCTCTGAGATGAGGGACTGATAGTAATGAAACGGTCGAAAGATTGTTTGCGCAGCGTTATTGACTAAGATGTCGAGGTGAGGAATGTTCTGTTGAACATAATTGAGGAAATTGTCCACTGATTGCATGTCCTGGAGATCAAGTCGTGCGATTTTTAACCTGTGCTTCCAAACTTTGAAATCTGTCTCTCTGCTAAACCGTTCCACGGCGTTAGCCGGAAATCTGGTGGTGACTACGACGAAACACTCGTCTCTCAACAAGCGCAGAGCAGTCTCGAAGCCGATCTTGATTCGGCCTCCGGTGACGATGGCGTACCTCCCCTTTAAATCACACGAGGATTTCTTCATCTCTTCATTTAGGAAATGGCAATCACCGCAGAGTCGATCAAAAACAGAAGTTTCATTGCACATATAGCATTTCCTATTAGACACCATGTTATTTGGGTTGCCAATCATTTTCTTTAAGGCTTTAAACACTTTTTTACCAGGTCGACGTTGATCGGCGTATGATCTTGTCGCCAATCCAACAGCAGATTCTGAAGGGACAATCTCGACTGATCGCTTTCTTTTAAGAGAATTATGCATGTGGACTTTTCCATACAGAATTCCGGGATGGGCATCCATTAGACGGTAAACATTAAGAAGACTCTTTCCAAAATTTAGAACGTCGATGCCAATTTTCAAAGCATCTGTGTCGCGTACTGTGTGATCCTGTTTGGTCAACTTCAAGATTGCGTGATTTCCTGAGGGAGACAACTCACCATTTTCTGCCAATAATTTGACTAACCGTTCCTTGATTTCGAGAAATTCTCCTTCGCTGCTGTTTATCCAAACATGAGAAACTTTGGACCGTTTAATTTGGCGGTAGAACTCTGTTAATTTGCTCAAGATATCTGTTGGTTTGATATTTCGACAATCTAAAATATACCTGTCACTTTCGGTGAATTTTTCTTCAGAGTTCAAATCCTCTAGGTCCTCTGCTTGTACTTTGATCAGTTTATAGCGATGTCCTTCGTCTGTAAGATCCATTTTCTGAGATTTTTTATGGAAAGTTTTCCTCTTGAAGCTCGTACAGTGTTAAGACTAAACGCGCTTTTATAGGACAAGATGCGGCAGTGATTCGTACTAGGTACGTATTGCTACGTTCGAGTAATCGTTGCATCACCTGAGCAGAACGATGACGTCGCGTCATGCTTGGTATCACTTCACGCTACCTCACAACAGAAAAAATTGTTAAAAAACTGAAGCCTCAGCGTAACGTAGTTCTCCACATCATAGTCAAAACTTCTATCAATTTCTCAATTGCAGTTTTACCTAAAAGCTTTCAGTAGTTTGATACAATGACCGTACATTAATTTCAATTTCGATGGCGTGACATTAGAAGTTCTACTTCAATTTTTCCCCCTTGGGGGTTCCCCACCAACAAAACCTGCTCGTATTTATCATTTCTCTTTAGAGATCTAGAATGTTTCCCCTGAACCACGTACCACACATGCATTTGCGTGTTAATTTAAAATCCCCCAAAATAAAGCTATTTTACGATGGCCCTCAAGGGATTCGCTGCGAAGGAAAGGGACATTGCAAATAAAAACAAACGCTGCCGAAAAAAAAAAAGCGAACGCTGCATATAAAAAAAAAAATAAACCCTGCAAATACCATTAACTATAACGCCGTTACGTTTTAAGAAAGTAAGTGACTTTAAGGGATTATAAACCGACATTTCGTGATTTTCTGTGAAGTGATCGGAAGTTCGAAGAGGAAATTGTAAATTTACGAGTTTTAGCGTCGTCTCTTCAATTTAATACTTAAGGTCTATTTTCGGAACGAATGACCCATAGCATTTATCGGAATGCATTATTTCGGGAAGCAATGAGCAAATTCTTTGATTTTCTTCTCCAGCAAAATATCTCATGCTATCCCTCTTTTTATAACTTCGAGTATCCTACCCATTAATATGCTCTATTTTGAAACCATTTCTGCCATAACGCATGACGTTTCCACTTGCCCTACACCTACTGAATATTCGCGAACTTTTTATTAATTCATCTGACGTCCATACATATAACACGCGTTTTTCTTCCACAGAGAATTTTTATGTACAGAAATCTAGATTGCAGGTGAAATTTAAGTCTGTCTCTGCGTTTGGTACGAGGTTATGGAACTGTCTAAACCCTGACTTACGTAAGCTTACGAAAAGAGCATTTAAAAGGAAAATTCATAAGTTGCTTTTGACTATACTTGGGATTGAGGACTTTTATGTTGACACCCATTCACTAATATTGAAATTCCATACCAATGATTATCGAAAATTATGACTGTGGTACTTCGCTCACTTCCGTATATCTCAATTCTCTCCTCTCTACTTTCAAGTCTGCTCTGCCTGTATTTGATTATTATGTCCTGTTTTAACTCACTGGTAATTTTATTGTATTTAATTTCTATGACAGCTGTACGTATCTTTTAGCTTATTATGTAGTAAACTAATGCATGGCTTATAACCCCAATAATATTGTAATAATGAAATCTCCTCAGTTTATTGTAAAATCTCTTCAGTTTATTGAATCTACAAGCTTCACCAGATTGTGATTTAGCGCGGTGTCAACCGGATTATCCTGTGCGCCACAAGGGATAAGATCATGGACCGACTTTAACGCACAGAACGCAGACAAAACGACAGCATAGGATCTTTTAGTTTCATGAAGATAAGACAAGTATTCTGAGACGAGTAAACAAACGCAAGGCAGGACTAATTTCACGCCTCTGGACCTAAGGTACACGGAGAAATACCTATACTGGGTAACATATTTTTTAACGGAAGAATTGGCTTTAGAAGCTAAAACTTGCTGCACGATTGTACGTCTACTGTCCTTACACGTCGGTCCCCAAGAGGAGGCTTCTATCAAATCCTAAGGAAAACAAAATTACTAAGAAATAGTGTGAGGGGGGGGGGAGTGCTAAAGAGATACCTAGCCCAGGAAAATACTCAAAGCCACTCGGCTCAAGTTCGCTGCCACCCGGCTCAAACAAACCTGCCAACCGGCTACAATAACGTGTAAGCTGCCAGCCAGCATGAAATACAAGAACACTCAGTGCCAACGGCTTAAGAAGCACTGGTCTATAGATCCGAGATCTGTAATAGTGGGTTCACAGTACAAGAAGCCCTCGCCATGAGACACTCTAAACAAGGTCAGTTTGGAGTGCTACTAACAGCGCTCCGTGAAAATTGAAGTTTTACGGCCGTCCCAGGAGGTTGAACCTAAAAGCGGGTTCGTATTACGACCTTGACGCAATGCTAACCGACCCTCAAAAAATTAATAATCGACAACGAAGTCCCAAAACTGAACCAACAAAGGCCAGAAAGGCGCGGACGGCCAGTAGGGTACCACTAATATCCCCCTGACATTGCATCGAAACATGAAAATAAGGACTTTTGACAAGAGTACGACCGGTGGCACACCTAAGCAATTTTCCGGTTGTCAGTCTTGGAAAAACGCGTCAATTCCCACTGTCCCAGGATTCCAGAATCTAGAAAAATATTTTGAGACCTTCTTGTTGTAGTGGGTGGCAAAGCAATCCACCGTAAATGGCCCCCAAAGCACGTCCAGCTGCCGAAAGAACCTGGGGGCAAGCTCCCAATCGTCATAATCCATAGGATTATGATCCATAGGATTATGACGGATTATGCTGAGGAAATCTGCTTTTTCATCAAGTGATCGTAGCACCCACTCGATGTCTAAATAAATTCCAACCTTGAAAAAAAAAAAAGACCAAAAAATATCGCAAGCTAACTTATGCAGATTGAAATTCATGCTGCCAACTTGCACGATCCTAGCCGCCCCTTGGCTATCGGTAAACCACTTAACCCTAGAGTTAGGAAGGAAGGAACTAATCGAACTAAGAACAAAATGAACAGCTAAAAGCTCGCGGTAAGTAGAGCTCTCCTGGCGTTCTGCTTCTGTAAAAATCCTGTGAGCGTGCACATCTACCCCCGCAATGTGACCTGCGCAGGCTATATTTACTAGCATTCGAGTAAATGGATATGAAAGGGTATGCCAAATCTGTTACAGATTTGGAGTTAACAGAGCGAAGATTATCCTTCCAAAACTGAAGCTCTACCATGCAATACCTACGGTTTGGTATTCTTTAACAGGAAGCCAACCGGCCTCGCTCTTATCAGCAAGTAATCTTTTGACGATGGCGTAGAATTTTCTTCAGTTCTTCCACCTTCTCGCCGGCTTTCTCGACGTTCCGCGCAGCCAGGAAATTGGCGGTTTTGTCCAGAGTCGTTCAGAATTAAAAAGGAACTGGTCCTTGTTGCCTTGGAATTTCAACTTTCCCGCTTCAGCCGCTCTTTCTAACTTCTGAGTTCCGCCGCTTGTTTGGGAGACTAAACCTGATGCAAGACTTTCGACCTTTTGATCTAGGTGGGATTTAAACCGCTCGAAAACTTCCTCCGTCTCCAAAGACTTCTGGCTTTGTGGAGATTTTGGGCTCGAGGGCATATCGTTGCAATAAAATAAGCCGAAAATGTGAACTAAACCACCGCCGAGTAGTGTTACCCTTGATGAATATATCAAGGAAGACACTCCTTAATATATTCAACTGGAGTATCAGGAGACTCCGCGTGCTAACACAAAACGTGTTAGCATGAAGGAATTCATTCTCTCGCTAACTTTCGAAGGAAAATGCATTGAATAAGACTATATGAAAATCATATATGTGAGCTGCGAGGATCGCTTTCATATACATTTCTTAAATAATTTTGCTAGAGTAACGCACGCACTTCATCTTATACCAGCTTCAATATATTCATGGAGTTGGCTGTTAGAAATGAAACACACAGTAGCACTGATAGGCTGTGTCACACAAGGCGTATACCTGTGTCACACAAGGCGTATACCTGTGTCACACAAGGCGTATACCTGCATTTCGACACAAATGATTAACCTTTCGATCCCTCTAAGAGTGACTAGCATCACCCCTGAGTCACGCATTACGTCACGAGAATAAAAGAAATGATCATCAACTTAAGAAGGCTCTTGATTTTTTAAAAATTACCCTCGGCATCAGCTGAAGAAATGTATGGTGAACAGTAGCCGTATCGAGAATACGCATTCTGATGTTGGAGTGCAAAGGGTTATTCTGTTGAAAAATAAACATGCCTGAAGTCAGCCGTGTAGTCTAGTGTTTTCATATTAAGTGCGAAGAAACAAACTGACTCGATATTCGAAGAAACCTCTCGAAGCAGCTTCTCTAAATAACTGGTATATATCATGTGCTATAAATAATATCAATTTGCGACAATTTCATTGAGTGGAGCTTGGACGCCTTCTACACTCAATGTTGAGTATGAATAAACAAATTGGCTTAATTTTCGGACAAACCTCTCTAAGACCCTCATGTTTTTAAGAACGAAATATCATCCAGTTGCGGCATTTTTCTGTGATGAGAATTTTGACGCCAGCCAGACAGGAAATGTTTCAATGTTGATTGCGAATAAAACTGATTCAGTATACTTAGAAACCTTGCGCTGAACCGCTTAGCTTTGAAGAACGAAACACGCACTTTTAAAGTCCTACGATAGTCGTCAGAATGCAGCGACTGACAGCAAAAATGAAAGTTGGACAACTCATTTTCAATAATAAACTCTTCTAGTCGCCAACACGTCCTCATAAATTGAACCAAGGGCTGTTCACCACTTTCTAATGGCGTGACACAAGAGATCGTTCGTGACAGTAAACAACAAGCAAGTTACCACAACTGGAACCAATCAACGCTCAGGATTACGAGTGTGCACATGTAGAATTTGCTAGCAATTCACACCTTGCTCACTTCATAAGAAGTCGCATCTTAAGAGGGATTCCAATTTAAGAGTAAGTACGACATTCTTCTACTTCATTCGTACTCATCAAAGCTTTCGCAATTGTCTATAAAATAACTCAAATATATATTTTTCGAAGTTGTTACATTAGCTAGTATTTCAGTTTGTCTCGAATCGAAATTAATCATTCATTATTACATAGACCTTGTCCTGCGGATGCAACAAACGATTCCGACAAATATTTTGGGCGGTCTTAGTGAGTAATGAAAACGTTGCGAAAAGCAGCAGAAATTGTTCTATCCAGGAAGGAAAAGTTAATAAATGATGGAAGAGTCCAACGGAAAGTAGATTTATCGGCAAATATAAAAAGTTCGCATGATCTCTTCTAGACAATCTGATAGGGTCCATTATTTCATTGCTAACCAAAAGCCACGATATGCGTACAAGATGGATGATTTCCTATTTTTTTTTTCAATTGAAATCTTTAGTTATTTATCTATGTTTTAAAGTTCACAGTAACTTGAAATATTTTAAGTATTGGGTGTTTAACAGATACCATTATTTCTTTTTCAACATAATTATTGATATTATTATTGCCATTGTAATTCATTGAAATTGTTATAATAACAATAGTTATTTTTTAAATTATTTTTCTATGGAAGAAGCTCGTTTAAATATAGGCAGAGAACTGATTGGTAATCCAGTCCACCATGGTTCCATCATCTGCTAGACGAAACTGTCAGTAGGGCATACATTTACTAATTAAATTCCTCTTTTAAACCGCCGTTTATTCCTGATAAACTCCAGCTGAAAATGAGGTTTTTTCTCTCGATTTCGTTTGCATTTTGCCAGAAAATATGTCGATGCTACTTGTCCACGTTACTAAGTGTTACCCGCCTGCACTTGAAGGTGCCCGGAGGCTTATAATGCTTAGCAGAGTCATAGAAGGCAAAAAAACAGATGTTTCAAAATGTTCAGATTTTTTTGTATCGGCTATTTCAAGAAGCAAATAATTTGAATATGTCAACAAAGTTGAAATGAGATACAATGAAATATATGAAGTTCATATATTTTGAACTGCGGTATTAGATACGTATGATGCACGATCCTCGCAGTAGATAGCACTATTTAAGCAATAGCGAAAATCAGACCTGAAAAAAATCAGGCCTGTACGGGATTCGAACCACTGACCTCTGCGATACTAGTGCAGCGCTCTACCAATTGAGCTAACAAGCCAACTGGGAGCAGGCCGTTAAGTTGATTCGTAATAAACCCGTGAAAGTGATAAATCAGATACAATGAAATATATGAAGTTCATATATTTTGAACTGCGGTATTAGATACGTATGATGCACGATCCTCGCAGTAGATAGCGCTATTTAAGCAATAGCGAAAATCAGACCTGAAAAAAATCAGGCCTGTACGGGATTCGAACCACTGACCTCTGCGATACTANGAAGGTGCCCGGAGGCTTATAATGCTTAGCAGAGTCATAGAAGGCAAAAAAACAGATGTTTCAAAATGTTCAGATTTTTTTGTATCGGCTATTTCAAGAAGCAAATAATTTGAATATGTCAACAAAGTTGAAATGAGATACAATGAAATATATGAAGTTCATATATTTTGAACTGCGGTATTAGATACGTATGATGCACGATCCTCGCAGTAGATAGCGCTATTTAAGCAATAGCGAAAATCAGACCTGAAAAAAAAAAAAAAAATCAGGCCTGTACGGGATTCGAACCACTGACCTCTGCGATACTAGTGCAGTGCTCTACCAATTGAGCTCTACCAATTGAGCAATCGGAGCGAATGATGAAGGGCTAATGCTCGGAACGTCACGTTTTATAACCGTAACGGTGGCCAATTTGCCATTTCAACTTTGTTGATATATTCACATTATTTCGTTACCGCCACCGACGCAGCGCCAAACAGTTTCTTTAGAAACTATCAGCCTTTATTTGTTTCAAGAACCGTCCGGCTGTTTCATGAAACTTAACTCAATGCGACTTTGCCAGACAATATGTCGCTGCTACTTGTCCACATTAATAAGTGTTAACCCCATGCACGCGAAGGTGCCCAGAGGCTTATATTGTTTAGCAGAGTTAGAGAAGGCAAAGAAAAGATGTTTCAAAATCTTACGATTTTTTATATCGACTACTTCATGAACCGCCTGACCGTTTCATGAAAATTATCTCAACGCGACTTTGCAGAATCGAATTTGTTTTGACTTTCTGCTAGTAAATTCTTAAACCGCAGAGCTGACAAGCTATTTCGATTTTATCAGTTCAGTCCATTTAAGTCACTTAGGGGCGACATGGAAGTCAACATGGCCTTAATTTTCAATTGCTGGCAAAGGCGGAGCTAAAAATAACCTTCATCTCTTTTGTTTAATGATACAGTCTCTTTGCTAAACAGTTGGCAATGACTGTTGTTTACAAGGAATTTTGAAGATTGTTCTGTTTTATCAGCCCTAGACAGAGACAGCTGGCCTGGCGGTTACATGTCAGTGTGGGTTTTCGGTATCTGCTTCTAACTACTTTAGTTTAAGATTAATAGCTGTCTTTTAGGGTTGAGTGCGATTGTTATTCATGATTCACTTTATATGCATGACTCCAGTCGAACCTTCATGGCTGAGTAACTCGCCTCGACCTCGTTCGACTTTGGCTTCATATGCTTGCTTCGGTGCGACAGTAGTACTCGGTTGCTCTCTTAAAGTTTTTGAGGTTCTTGTTTTTCATTGCATCTGACAGCAAGTAAGACCTCAGCAAGAAAGTAGATGTCTCAGCCATGAGGGGATTCATATCACTTGCGTTTTTGATCCACATGTGTTTAGCACAAGGTAAGTTGAATAACTTTGTAAACAAGCAGCACACCACCCGGGGTACGTCGTGATGTTTTGAGCTGCCTACCTAAAAGTGCCAAGCGAATTGTTTATCCCTTTTCTATACAACCATAATCAAATCTTTTTGTGAATCAAGCTATCAAGGTGCTTGCTGTTAAGGAAATCTATTATGATATGGCTAAATTCCGGTCGGTCATTCCTCACTGATTCGATTCAGCCAAGAGGCGATCTACGATCGTTTAATGGTGGAGTGTGACACCGATGTAGTACGTACTTTGCTAAATTAAATGTTAACACTTGAAGTTCTGGTAAATCTCAAACAACCATGAGTCATTTGTAGCATTTCTTTAACTTCTATTTACAAACACTCCGTCGAGACTTTTCATGGGTCTTTGAAAGAAAGGGATAAATAAAAGTACGTGGCGCGGACTACTGGATCTGTGGACTTAGGATCGGAAAGTGAACATTTGGAAGATTTCCATCATCTTGCAGTGCCAACTTGAGCGAAAATAATTTACTCTACCGAGCCATCTCTATCTCTGGTTATATTCCGTTCCGTTTCTTTCGCATAGTTCCTTGTTTATTTTGTGTCCCTTGCCCATTTCTTCCATCGGACTACCAAGAAAGGTATCATAACCCTATCACAGCTGCATTAATTATTTACTTTTGACAAATTGATTAGGGCTACATTTCCCTTTTTGAACAGATCCAGCCGTTTTTCAGTTTCGATCTGGAGAATTCCGTGTCTCCGAGTCAGTATTAAACGCAGTCGTTGTAATAGAAAATGTTGGCAATACTTCGGAATCTGGGACTCTCAGGTAGGCGTGCGCACGTATAAGCCCTTCCATCTTACATCACGAATATTCTCCTGAGTTCATTAACGAGAATCTGATTAGTTTTCATCGCTTTAAACTTCCATCACTTCTTGGGTTCCCTCATTTTTCTCCCCCACACCTGCTGTTCCTCGCAAACAAAAGACAAGGAACCAGCTAATTTTGCATCGACATCGACATCGGTTAAAGTCCTTCGGGTAAAGGAGACAAACTTTTTGAGTGTGCGTGGATAAGAAGGTTTGAATCCAATTTCCGGAGATGCTCGTGGTTAAGGTTTTTTCGTTATCCAATAAACTGGTACTGTAGTAGTTTTAAATTCCAAATACCTTTCTTTACATTTGCAAAAAGTTTCAAAGAAGACGGCATCTCCCCTTTCTATAGCGATATACTTAAATTCATAGCCACTAGAAGTTGTAAACTACCTATTTGGTGTTTATTATGTGTAAATTCGTTAATTGACTTGGTACCGTTAATGCAAAGTAATGCTTGTTGTTTCTTTTTCCTCCAAGCGTAAATGTTGCTGATGGTACGGCCGTTAGTGGTGAAGATTACGCCCCCACCGCTGGTTTAAGGGTATTATTTTCAGCAGGCGACGCGTCCAAAGAAGTGACTATTCCTATTACAGATGACGACGTAATTGAAAGTGACGAAACAATCCAGCTCTCTTTGCGGCTCTTGGGTCCCTCCCGTCCAAGTGCCACGATTGGCAGCGTTGGAAGTGCTACCATCTTAATCATTGACAATGATGTGCCCCGTAAGTAAACGGAACTAATGGTAGAGGAATTACTTGTACATCATGTGGAAACTAACAAATTGTTCTCATGACAAGTTTTAGCATTGCAATTCGTTTTAGCCTTCCTTCACCTTTTGTAACCAGACACGGTTCGTTTCTGGTTTGCTCTCGCCGGCTGGCTTCTCTCTTCCCCGATAAACCATTCTTTAAAGTTTTCTTCTTTAACAGAAGCAAAAAAAAAAAAAAAAAAAAACTAGCTCCTTCAGAGATGCATTCGGTTTACCTGGATAGGTGAAGACACACCAAAATGTGGGTACAAATTTTCCGTTTAAGATCGTCATTGGTTGGGTTACATCGAAAGGGAAAGATTTGCTGGTTCAAATAAACCTACTTGTCGAGTAATTTGACTATATCAACTAAGTTGAAAATTGGAAATTGACCACCGTAAAGAGTTAAGAAGCTAACTCTAACTCTTTACGGTGGCCAATTTATAATTAACTTAGTTGATATAACCAAGTTACCTTGTTACCCCCCACCGACACAGCACCACAGTTTCTTAAGCAACTTACCCCCTTCTAATTGTAGAGTGTTACAATAATGAACCCTGCTATACCGGGACGCTTGATCATCGGCCTTTTTCGATAAAGCCCTAACGCAGTGGGTGGGGCTGCATTTGGGAGGGGTGTACTACGCATGTCTCACCGTGTTCAAAGTTTTGTGGTTTTGTTCATGGTCCCATTATGTTCGGCCTTATTCGTCGCCTTTCTAGGCTCATCAATTGAAGCCCGACAAAGAGTCTTGTCTAGCTTTCCACTTATAAACTGATTTTGGATGCTACTCTTGTCAAAAAAATGGAAGTATTTTTCACCCTTCGGAAATGGCGATTTCATAATCATTAACCGTTCAACAAATAGCTGAAAACCCTTTGCATGCTTTATGGTTCCTAAACGTGACTTCAATGATCCAAAAAGTTCATCAATTTTTCTTTGCAATTAACACCGCAGAAATAACACTTAAAATTGCATCTAAAATCCTTCAGCTTGAAATGTCACAAAGAACCGAAAATGCATATATCGCGTCCTTTATATCATTTTCAGAATTATTTCAGACCAAACAGGCGATAAAATTACATACAACTTACTAAACGTGCAATTAGCAAAAGAACCCCATAAAGTTTCCCAATACTAATTTATTCAAATCATTTTGATCTCGAAGGACCGGTGCACTTTGTTCCTCCCGCCAAAACAACAAAGCGCATTCATCGCCTTTTTCTTGGCGACTAATTACCATTTTCAAATTCGTCACGCTCTGCTTCAAAACCAGGTGTGCGACTTCTGTGGTGGGCGGTTTGGTCAGCCAGTCGGCAACTGAGACGGCTACAAGCGTTTGTGTGTTCCTGAGCAGGATTGTTAGTTCTCACTAATAGAGAGAAATGAGGGCCTTCGCTGTTGTGTGCGTCTCGCTCTGTCTTGCGCTTGGTATACCACACTTTGCTTTTATTTGTATAAGGGACGAAATAATTTGTTTTTTTTAGTTTTAGGCTTTATTGTCGCCTGTCGTGTTTTATAACTTGTGCCATCTCGTTTTCAGCTCTCTGAGCCTTGAGCTTACTTTAGAATTCTGGAAACCACGTCGAGTTCTGCTCAACGCTCAGGCGTTGTTGAGTTTGGATACAACTTTCTCACAAACTTTGTTTAATATTTCTACTCATGTGCTCACCATCAATAGAGTGTACTGATGTAGGAATTACTGAAGCGCATAGATTGTTTAAATTCTGTCCCTACAGAGTTTCGCTCTTGGAAGCCTAAAACGTTCGTTTTAATGGCTTAGGGAGGTTGTAAAACTATTAGATAGGCACCTGTGGAAACTCCAACTACTAGTAAAGCGAAAACTCTAGTTTGAAGTTTTAATTCAATTCATAAGGTGGGGCCATGTTAACAAATCATTTAGAATAACTATTCATGATACGCTTGCATTTCCAAGCTACTGTTTGTTTTCCTTTCTTGAGCGCCTTTTGAGCGTTCTTTTTCATTTATTAATCATGATATCTCTTTATTTTTAGCTTCTGCATCCAATGGCGGTGGAAACATAACGTTGAACACCGAAGCAAGTGAGTGCATAATTCGTAAATCTACTCAGTATTTACATATTGATCTAGAGTGTTCAGCAGTTATGCACTTTTATTTTGATTTGGAAGCACGAAGTGAACTCAGTACATGCAAATCCTAACAAGACAAACAAAAGTTGTCAGGCCATAGTTTGAGGCTTTCCGTTTTTGTGTTCTTGGATTTTGCTTGCGCCTTTTCCTTTGTCACCCACCTCGTATGCAAGTCAGTGGTTCTAGATCTCTTTGAATAAACATGATGCGCGGTCTACGACAAATGGCCTTTGTCTGGCCGCCTTTTCGCCACAGACCTTTCTCAAAAACAAACCCATTTTTTTTAAGTATCTGCATATTATTGATGTTCCCATCACACGATCTTCTGCAGCAAGGAGCTAAAATGCATTTGTTATGCGCGCAATTCAGTTTATTGGGCTTTCTGAGATGCTTGCTTGCTTTTTCCGTCAGGGTTCGCATTCATGATGCAAGGTCTACATTTGGAACAAAAATTGGATTATTGGGATTATTCCAGTTGCATAAACGTCTGCCCATTTAATGCTTATGAATTAAACACAATCCAGAGTTTGCCAGAAGAGTTTAATCATATTCTATTTTATCAAAGTATCTTGACATCTTTTGTTTCTAGAGACAGTTCACTCAGGCATGTCTGGCTTTATTAGTTCACAGCCTGACAAGTGTATTGTTTCAGGGTAAATCAATGAGTCGTCACCATATTATGATTTTTGTCTTAGATAGCCTTTACGCTAGCACTTAACAAACTTGTACACATAAAAACATCAACGCACTGCTCGACACTTTGAAATTACTTAAAAGTAAACAGCTGTGTTATTTTCCGAGGTCCGAAAATTTTGAATCCGATCGCGTGAATACTCGAAGCCAACTTCTGATTGGATATTGTTTTGGGGTATTCAAATATGCAAAATTAAAAAGTTGAAGATAATATTCTCAAATGCATAAAACTTGGGGATATTGAGAAATTTTTTGGTTCCTGATCAGATTTAAGATTGCCTTGTATTTTTGCTGCTTTGTGTCAGAATGCACTTTGTTTCGGCCAAAACAAAACAAAAAAAAAAATGACGGACAAACAAATAAAACTATAAACTTAAGTCAATTTTTACTTTCAGACGGCCTATATTTTCAAGAGACTAACCCTGTATCAGTATTTATAAAGCATGTTCAAAACATTTGTCCTATGCACATATAATTAGCATCTATTTTTCCTCTGTGAAATAAATTCGTGTCTAGACAAAGTACGTTGGAATGCAAAAAATCGAAGTAATTAAAATGGAACTACGACTTTATTTATCAAAAAAAGAAAACTTGAAAAAAAAATATCACGCTATTTTTCTTTATTGGACATGTTTGCGTTCTTGGGGTGTTATTCCAAAGCCCTTGTTTGCAGCATGCGACTCGTTACTCGAGCGGAGCATACTCGTACCACTCTGTTCAGAACATTTTTAGGGAACTTCTCGGCCGGAACAAATGAGAATAGAGTAGCCCTAATAGGTCAGTCCTAGCCTGATTTTGCTTCTAATTTTGGGCTTCTTCTGATCCTTTTGTCGCAATGACACATTGTCGTAAAATATTATGTTAGGTAACTGGGAACACTAAATAAAACCCTAATTCGTTTCTTCTTATTTTTAGAGATTGACATTGTTTGCCGACCAGACTATATAGAAGTGACCCTGAAGTTTGCAGATTATCCAGGAATCGTTGTAAACGACTCAGTTCTGCATCTTGAGGACATGAATTGCGTAGCTGGTTACAAGGACGATGAAATGGTCAAATTTACATTTGGACTTGAGGAGTGTAAAACCATGCAAGAGGATGACGGGAAGAGGATTTACTACAATAACATGGTTTACCTGAAGGCTGGCTTGCCACCTAATGATACGAAGATAATCCGTGACCATTACGAGGTAATTCCGTTCAAATGTGGATATGACAAGAAGACCGTCCTGTCGAAAGTGTCCTACAATCCTCAAAGTACTATCATCTTATCAAATGCAGGTATCGTATGAACTATGGTTTTTCTAGAACGAAGCTCAATAGAGTGTCGGAAGTGACACACGATTGCATTGGTCGCCCGCGCGTTCCAGCGCTTGAAGCATTTTGGTGGTTTTTTTTTTTTTAGCTTTGAGTTTTTATTGGCTCTGAATTGTATATTCCTGGCCTTTCTTCTGTTTGGCCGTTGTACGAAAAACTCGTTAATGATTCTGATAGGAGAGCTAACGCATAAACACGGATATAGAGACATAAAAACGCAAAGCAAAACGACATACAAAAGCATATCCTTGAACTTGCGAATTGCAATGAGCATCCAAACATGCGGACCAACACTCTTTTAACCTCGATTGGTGTTTAGATTTACGAAATGATAAATATTTCTTCTCTACTTCCAGAGGGTATTGGCAACTTTACCTACTTCATGGACATGTATGAAGATGGAAGCAACAGCGTAGCAGTTACCAAGTTTCCAAAGGAGGTTGGTTTGGGTCAGAAGATGTACTTTGGTTTCCGAGTGGAGTCTGGTGACAATGAATTGGTTGTATTTCCAGATCTCTGCAAGGCCACAGCATCATCAAGCTACGATTCTACTCCCGAGCATCTTATCATTGAAAAAGCGTAAGTTAAACGTTTTTAGCTGACAAGAGTTATTATTCCTTAGATTATATCGTGTGCTAGGCAACCCAAAGGTCAAACATCTGCGTATGTGCAGACGTCGAAACATAGAGGCCGACTACGGAAAAGCTGTACCACATTTTTCAAAACAGCCACAGTCCAGAAAGTCACGGTGTTAGGAGGGGCTCTAATTTTATTTAAAAATTCCACAAAAAATTGTCAATCTAAAGAATACTTCTTGTTGAATGAATGTTGTCGACAAAATAAATTTTACTACCTCTTGCAGATTTCTCGAAAAAGTTTTCTTTTATCGTAAATTTGCGTGACAGTGGTTTTTTTCTCATGTTTGACTTTTGCACGGGATATTGGCGTGCAGTTAGCCAAATTTGATCCGTTTTGCATGCCCTACATTTTACTGTTCTGTTAAGTGAACTTATGGCTACTTTGGATAGAGAACTACGTTGGCAATCGTTTTATTAATTTTTGATGTTGTGACGACCATGATCCACTACATCTACAAAAATGATTACTTTAAAAGTAAGTTTAACGATTGGACACAGCAAATCTACGCCATGCTACTTCTGATCATATTCATTCTATGTGATTTATAAGGTAGGTATCGAAATTATGGATAAATATTTTACTTAGCAACAACACCACAAGCAAAAAATAGAGCTAATCAAAACTTTGCTGATTCTCTCTCCTCAGCTGCTCGAGAGACAACACGTTGGAATACGATTACGGCGCAAAAGCTGAGCATTTCTTCAACGTTGCAGCTTTCCGTTTCAAAGAGAACTACGATGATGTCTTTATCCATTGCAAGTTGACGGTTTGCCGAAAAGCTGATGACCAGTCACGGTGTGCCAAAGGCTGTCAACCATCAAAGAGGAGACGACGGTCATCAACTGAAGAAGAAGAGTTTAGTGCCGACCTGTATGTTGGACCAATGAAACTTAAGCGCCCGGAAAATGAGGAAGGTGGGTATGAAATCTTTTGCCTGTTCCAGGCGCTCTGTCAGCGAATACGAGTCCAAAGGTGGGCGCACGAATAATGGTGTTCGTGAAATAAGCGAGACCGTGAAAAGAAAATATCTCTATCAGCCGTTTCCTTGACAACTGCAACCGTCGCACCCACTTGCCGTCATTTCCCGCGCATTCTCTCTTTGAGTCGTCTCCATTATCTAAGAAACAGGCTATAAAAGGCCAAAAGTTTGAGCAAGTTTAACTGAGCCATGCTTTAAATAGTATTCCCACACCATTAACGAAATATGTTCTGTTATCGTTTCTTATGTGTAATTGAGCCGGGGTAGCAATAAGATTCCGAAAATTCCTCTCGCGGACATTACGCACACCAATCGTGTTGGTCGAACACATCCCCTCAGCTGCACAGGCCTTCAAACACGCATAAGTTGACACAGTCACATGATTAAACGCCAGCTTGTTTAATTCCTACAGCTGAAACGAAGCATTATACTGAATCAGAGACTGATAGTAACATGGTGATGTTGGTGGCGGTCTTGGTTGGAGTTTTGGGAACTGTGGCCATTGGACTCATCGTCGCTGTCGTCGTCATCAGTCGACGTCGCGCGTCCGTTAAAAAAGGCGCGGCTCTTATCGTTGCTGAGGAAATTTAAAGGGGCATTCATCGAGCTTGAATTGTAACTTTCCGCATTTTCAATACTTTGGGGGACTGAATTAATCACATAAGAAGTTTTCAAGGCATTTCAGTTTTCATTGTTTTATTAGTAGTTTTATTCCACCTTAGAGTAAAACCTTTTCTCCTAATTTCATGTTTATTTCAATATATTTTATCATTTTTATTTAAGCTGGCTTAACTTCTCTAAAAAAAGAAGAAACGAGACCACTTTTAGATATTACCACCCGCTCGACTCGCGTTTCCTGGTAACAGGAAATTTTGTGAGGAAACTAGCTTTTTCTTATACAAATATAACTTCTGCTCAAGCTTTTTCTAGGATACCATGTACTTTAATTTCGTAATAAGCGAAATAAAACTCGAAGACGTTCAATTATCTATAGTTTCAAATGCTAAAGAGGTGCGCTACGGAAACCACAGGCATATGTAGTGGGAAGCAGTAAGTTTTCGTTTGCTAACAATTGGATATTTTTAACCTGTTAAGCGTGGTTTGAAGCTCAATAAAACTGGATGTGCTTACTTTTAGCTAAGAAAGCTGTTTAGTTTTGACTTTAACTCTATTTTCCTTTAGTAAGAATAATCTTTGGCACTTGTTAGACCTGAGTCACGGCTCTCTACAACAAGTCTGGACTCTAAGGAAACATTGACAGTCATGGGAAAGGATTTCATTTTCCTCTGGTCATAACTTCCACTCAGCTATGTCAGTTAAATCTGAGCACGGATTAATTTGAAATTTTAACAAACAGTCACTTAATAAATAATTCGCAAAAATTTTTGTTCATTTCAAAGGAGAAAACAGCAGAGAAAAAAAAAACCTAAAAAATAAACAGAAATTTCCCTCCACCCTCCGAAAATAAAAAAAATAAAAAAAATAAAACGAACAAGAGATTAAAGCAATGGAAACATATTGAGAAGAAAAGGTCAGATCAAAATCAAGAAAGACAAAGACTGGCTGAAATGTCTGTGAAGGTTAGCCCGACCCGATTTCAATAACATTATCAAACAAGATTATTATTGAACACACCCAACCTTATTGGGAAGGTAGTCCATCGCAGATTGTCCCCTCGGGTTTGCCCAGCAGATCTCTAGTAACTATTTGTTCACCCTAAAGTGTAGAGGCATGGGGATAAAAAAAATTGTTCTGTTTAAGAACCAATTGCAAGGCACTGACCTCAACTGGGGCTCAAGTCCAAATCATGTATTGAAGAGTGTATGTTGTATGCCGCACAATTTGCTCCAAGGCGACAACCATTATGACGTTTGGTCTTTCCCGGGGGCGGATATAGAAAGTCTTTCATAGCAGGAAGAGAGGGGGAGAAGTTTTCGGATTCCCTCACTCCACCCCCCTGGATGTATTTCAAAGTGCAATAAGGCGACATTTGTTGTGACATTATTCTTCTCTAGGGGTAGATGTAGAAAGTTTTAATTGGGGGAGAGGGTAAGTTCAGTTACCTTGATCCTCCCGCTGGATATTGAGACTGGAAACAAGGAACAAAGAAAATGGAAGAAAGTGGATCCACGTTTGCAGCATGGTATATTACTAGTATTACGCTCCACCTTTTCCGTCAGAAGCTTCCTTTTCTCGCAATTTGTATAATCAAACTTTAAGGACATCTAGTTTGCTAAACGCTTTCTTGACCCAAACCTTTCGATGAGGTGTAGCTAACATTGAGATTTTGGGCATAATTCGGAAAAAAAAATTTCCTTTGTGTGACAATTTTCGACAATTGAACCTGTCATGGTATAATTGTCGCCTAGTAACCTGGAACTGGCCAGATCACTGCACTCCCGATTGAATATAAACGAACAATGTCAAATAATGATATTTCCTGTCGGTATTTCACGACACAAAGATAGCCTGATACCTTTGTTCACTTTGGTACAAACACAAGATAAACAAAAGATGTGAAATCAGGCGAAAGCAACGTCTGAGATCTTGATCAATGGTACTTCCAAGGTTTTTTGTCTGCATTTGTTTGGTGAACGTAAAAATAAATTTATTTTTGCTAAACGACATCAAAATACAATTTCGATCCCTTTTCTTTCTCTGCATTCATCAACCGAATGTTGGAAAATCTGTTTAAAGCGTTATTGCTTAATTTTCATATTACTTTCTGTTATCTTGGCCAGGAGAGTTGTCATGTTGAGCGTAACAGAGAGAAGATAGCGGACTGAATGTCGCCCAGGATAGACCGCTGTCTAAGGAGCAATTCTTTGTTATTGATCACGCTTTATTGATATGCACGGAAAGGACCTCGCTGGTGAAGCATGTTTGCATGTGCAGCGCCACACTACGACTAATTTGCATTTATGATCAGGCAAACAAAAGAAAGAAATCGCCACCAGAACATTCTCTGCTGTTGCTGCTGTCGACCGAAGTTGTGACAAGTGGACTCTTTTCCCGGACAAGCTGTTACTGTGACCTACTTTCGAAGGAGGGCAGAAACATGAATCCACTGCTGCTTCGAAAGTTGCTCTTGGTTGGTGTAGTGTGGGTGTATTCTATATCAGAGGCAGACGGTTCAGGTATGTTTCGAATTTGTTTCATTTTGGTACGTCTTGATGTGATTTTGACCATAATTCTGCGGCATGTACCTGATTCATTGGAGTAGACGAAGTCAGGCAAGTCTTTTTGAGAAGGGTCACTGATACTTGCAGCTTGTTCATCTTTCGGATTACTAGTGCAAATCTGGCTTAAACAGATTAATAATACACACTGAATGCTATTGGAGTTGAAGGGCTGCTCAGTTTCATCCTAAAGCTTTAAAGCGGAGTTCGCACTTGTAGTTCCATTTCGAAAATTCTGGTCGAGCGGCTCACAAAACTATTTCTCAATTCTTTTTGGACAGAGATTTTCATGGAGTGCAAGTTATTGTTGCATTATAAACTCGGAACCGAAGAGTCAAACTTGTTGCTCCCTCTATAGTAGTAATCAACTCATGGGAGAGAATCTCTTTCCCACGAAAATTAGCCGTCACTGGCCTAAAAGTGTTTGGTCCAAGAGAGTAGTTTTATTTTTCGTTTTAGCGGCTTTTCTTTTCTCACGAGGTGCCATTTGATGCCAAGTCGATTTTACAATGATATTTTGTAGTTTGTAGGACGAGAGCTCTTATCACTGAAATAATTTTTTTTTTCCTCAAACCAACGGTTTCTCGTTACCCCAAAGTAATTGAGCCATAATACACTTTGCCCGCGGCGAAATAGTTTAAACTGAAAATGTTGCGAAATTTCATTTTAATTAGGCAACTAAGTGATTTGGTTTGATACATATTCTGTTATGCATGCAAAGTTTGGAGTTATTGCTATCAAATAAACTTGACCTTTAGTTCCCTTTCATTACTTTAAAGAAACTTCTGCCTTGTTGCCTCTGATTTATGTTGACAAGCACGTTTAAAACGATTCGGTCATTGTTCGCCTTGAAATCTTTTAGGAGATAAAGTACTAAAAGTATGAATTTTCCTTCTGTACTTTTGTTTGAATCGAGTTCTAAAATTTTTGACATATTTACCACTACTGAACGTCAACAACAAGAGGTAAAAACTGTTCATATCGGTTTTAAATAAAGCAAGACTCGTTTTTACCTCCGCGAACTTCAGCTAATCAAAATGCAAAACGAATGGTTACTCACGCCCGTGAATTGTAACCATTGTGATGTGACTCCAAAGCTTTCTTCAAAGTAGACAAGCTTGACACATAAATGACACCTACGTGAGCTACAGCAGTGTCTACATTATTAAGTGGTTTCTCGTACAGTTGAAAAGAGTAAGAGAGAGTGAGGTTTTTAAAGATTTTTGCAGAAAAAACTGTATTCGCAGGCTTAGGAGCTCATTTGATATGCATTACATGACGGCTACAGCAGATAGCACGTACTTTTCGGATGGGAAATGTTTCATTGATCAAAAAGTGAGGCATCTTCCAAACTACGTCAAACCCTCGTGGGTTTTATCAGACCCCTGTTGTAAGCAACACTGGAATGGAGGCTGCACTCGAGCGTTGTGCCGCCGATGTTCCTCTGTCAAAAACTCAGTTCTGGAATTTATCTGGAGTAGCTTTAAGTATTTTTTAAATAACAATGACTTTGCTGCTTTTTTTCGCCTGGTTAGTTTTGAATATCGGGTCATTATCACGACAATGTTTACGACATGAGCAGCAGTGGGGTTCTAAAGTCACTCCCATTGTACAGATGCACCCTTAATTCCAATCTTTTTTAAAACAGCGGGGTGTATTCATTCAGTCACGAACATATTTTGACGTTTCAGTTTGTTCTCCTTCCAACACCGACATTGACATCGACGCCCAGGTCCCCGGTGTCATATCCACACCTGAATTCCCGGATGGCTCTACCGGCAGTTCTTGCGCCTATAAGATCCAGGCTCCTGAGAATTTCCGACTGGCGATAACAATCGAGGCTCTTAAGTTTGCAGGTCTAGATGATCATTTGGTTATTCACGATGGTGCTGATGACCAAAGTCCCATGATGGGAAGATATGGTTCCTGTACTACTGGCTCCCTCACTCTGTTCTCAAGGGGGAATGCGATTCTTTTGAAAACGGTGTCTGCCACTTTCAGAACGAGCAACGAGCTTAGGATTGCATATAGAGCGATTGAATCTGGTAAGTTAATGTAATGTATCAGTTAATGTATTATATGTTAGTCTTTTCCACTTTAATAATAATAATACTTTGATATTTTTATCGCGCAAATTAACATTTGAATATGATCAAATGTGCATCACAACACTTTACGGGGGACTTTGGCCGGACTGCATCAATAGTTTACAACCAATCGAAAGAAGCTTATTTGAAGATGCGGGGGAAATGTCCGGTTTAGAGGAATGTCCGGAGTACTGAGGTTTTACCAACAACAGCGGCACAATTGTAAACTTTAGATTTATTTGCTGCGATAGAACAATGAGTAATTAGCTGATGTGCATTTCTCACTTTTGATTGGGATTTACAGCAGTATGATTACAATTTTAATTTTAATCACGTTTAAAACGTGATTTGATTTTGGCGGCAAGCTTAAACCTTTCACTTCCGGTTTAACGATGTCAATTTCTTTGTTATTATGTGATTACAGACTGAAAAAAGCGTCTGGTTTCCGGAGCTGAAGGTTTCTGAGGTTAAAAACAGAGAAAATGTTTTACAGATTTTTTGTTTGATAGAAATTAATGATGGTCCGGTTTAGAGGGTTTCCACTATATTCACTCGATCAAGAGGGAGGAAGAGACCCCATCACCTACGTCACTTTGATTAGTTTATTTTGCTCATCACAAGGAAATTTTTGCATTAATTTAACAGAGACTGTTACCTGCTCAAGCCCGGGAGGAAATCTACCAAGTAAGTTCAAGATTAGTACTTTTACATTTGAGCGGCTCTCGTTGGCTGCAGGACAGAGCTTCAACTCTTTTTTTTTCCGAGTAAATTTCCCACAGATTGTAAATGTTAATATTTTTTGTCTTGTTGTTGGTCCCTGTATAAGCCAAATGTACATGAAAATCGCAATTTGAAATAGCTGTACTCTGAAGATTGGCATGCGTAAATCACTTTGAAGTTTGATGAGATTCAACAAGATTAAGATTCGTATGATGCACGATCCTCGCAGTAGATTTCCTCATTGTATCTCAAGATTAAGATCGAAAATGTTATTTGCGTACCTTTGAACATTTGTTCCAAACTGCTGTGACAGGTTTTTTCAATGTTGCATCATAAACTGAAGATATCTTGGTAAGATTGAAACGTCAGGAGATCAAAGAATTTTCTATATTTTACGCGTGGTATTTTAATGACGTTTATTTTTCCTCGTAATTGTTAGATCTATGTACAGATGACAACCATCTGGGAGGACTCTCAGGTGTTATAAGCAGCCCTAACTTCCCTAAGAACTATGGTGCCAAAGAATATTGTACGTGGAATATTGCTGCACCTCCTGGCTACCGTATACAATTTGCAATTCGTTTTCTCGGTATTGAAAACTATCGATATTCCAAGCGCCCAAATGACTGCTTTGATGACAGCATCACCATTAGCGAGTCGCGTGAAAACAAAACCAGGGATATCAAAAAACTCTGCGGATGCCAGTCCCTTTTTTCGTTTATTACTTCTGAGGAGACGATGTTCGTGACTTTTAGAACTTACAGGGAAAACAACTGGCCTGGTTTTTATGCTACCTACCAAGCACTGTGTAAGTTTGCGTCGGTCTTTTTTAGATTTGTAAATTTCTTTATCAAGTCTTAAGCAAGATCTTGGAGCGATGACAGGAGCAGATTTGAGAGGAAATCTATTTTCCGCAGGAAAAAAACGCAAGTGCTTCATATCCTAGACTCTCCGTACAATTGCGTTTAAGGTCTTGCGAAGTTTATTTCGTTCTCGGAATTACATCGATATTCGTGTTAGCACACTTTAGGTCATCCCGTGCAGATTATACTTTTATTTCCATGTGTTGCAGAGTCGTTTTTTACGGTGAACAAATAAAGTAATGGTTTTCAGGCACACTCAGGTGAAATCTAATTCTAAAAGTTGTCGTGTGAAATGCTTTGATTACCTGAACAATGATTTTGGCGAGAAATTGGGTTCCTTTGACGTATTCTCCCCGTTCCTACCATTGTATACCATTGTCTGCTCATTTGTTGTTCTCATTTGTTCTCGTTTGTATTCAGACAAATAACATCGAGAATAATTCGCTTCCCTCACCCCTTACCCCCCTCTCTCCCCCTCGCGCCCTCTTCAAAACAGATCATGAAAGTTAACTTTTGCTGGCTCCATTTCGCCTTGTTTCAACCCATTCATATCCGTATGTGACCAGAGATTATATTCTCTTGTATGTGATTAATTTTCCTAAAACTTCATTTAGCTCCTGAAGAATGTCCCTCTGGAAACACCAATTGTCCTTTAAAAGACTTCGATCCAACTGGCTTCAATGCACAAGGGGAGGTTTGCAAGTCGTCAGGTAAGCAGTTTTGAACCACTCTTTATCTCAACATAAAAACTGACTACTCCTGATGCACGTTGATTCTTTCGGTACAATCGAACACCGACCGAGGGAGAGAAAAATCGACCGGTTAAAATCACGTTATCATGCCTGCATTATATCATACGAGGGGACTACTTTTAGTAGAGCTAGTCAAAACATAAATATGTGAATATTAGAAGGAACTAGAAGAAGAAACCGCCATTGTAAATGAGTGACAGGAATTCAAAACATAAGTATGTGAATGTTAGAAGGGAAGAAGAAGCCGAAGCCGTCATTATAAATGAGTGAAAGTAATTCAACTACAATGTGACGTAACGTCGATTGACATACGTTGGCCACGACTACAACCTTGGTCTCGAAAGATGGAGAATTCTGCGTTTTTTCTCCGTGAATTATAACCCTCCTGTTTCCCAAACACTGTTAATCAAGCAATTATGTTACAGAAAAATTTGTTCGATAATTAAGTCATCTGAAGTGTCACTCGGGCCTTTGTAAAAAAGAGCAGCCAAATCACCTTTTTTTTTACAGAAATCTTCCATTCGGCTATTCATATGCACCGTTGTTTGTACACGCTTGCATGCTCACATATGCTCATCTATTGCGTTATGCCTTTTCAAGCTATAGACGATTCACGGCCAACTGATGGAGGAAACATAACTTTATATGCCGAAGCTAGTGAGTGGTTCATCTTTAATTTCGATCCTTAAGTTCTATATTTATATAACCAAAGAGTAATAATTTTTATGTCGGGGTTTAGAACTTAATCACACAGTGAATATTAATAGCGTTGTAGGCGCACTCTGATTAGCTACTCGCAGTCCGAAATACCCTATGCTTTCCACCTTCGAGCAAATCGCTCGGGATTTGCGCCTGAAAATATTGTAATCATTCAAAAGTCATTCTTTTTTTCTCCTCCACTGAGGTGAATTGTTGTTAATTAGTACGAAAGGTCGGTTGATACACATCTAAGAATTTGCGTGTAATCTTTTACACGCATTTTCGTGTAATCTTTTACACGCATTTTCGTGTATTTCTTTTACTCGTGTGTAACGCGCCTAACGCGCGTAATTTGCATGTAAATTGTGCGCAATATGGCGGATTTACCTGCATGAAACGCGCGTGTAATGCTGCTATTCTTGCAGCCTGTACTGTACTATGCTGATACACGTCTATTAGGAATGAAAAAAGGAGGCGTGGATAAATATTGCAATTGTAAACAAACCAACAAAGCTATAGACAGTCCTGAACTGAAATTATCAATAAAAAGTTACTGGTACCGTAAGGTACTTCCCAAATAGATTTACAAAACAATTGTTACTTCTCCATTTATAGTGAGGGAAAATAACTGTAATTAATGTAATTAAGGCTTGGATGTTATCCATTGAAATTTTTGAAAAGAAATTCAGTTAAATTCAGTTATTCATGAAGACTTGCCTTTTTTTTTTCGTTTTGATTTTAGAAATAGACGTGGTTTGCCGACCTGACTTCATCGAGGTCTCTCTGAAGATTTCTGATTTCCCTGGAATCGTTTTCAACGACTCTTCTCTTCACCTTGAAGACAGAAACTGTGTTCCTGGTTACAAAGACGACTTAAAGGTGACTTTCAAGTTTGGACTTGAGGATTGCGACACTAGACACGTCAACGATCGTGAGAAGATATACTACAAGAACAAAATTTACCTCAAAGCCGGTGAGGCGGCCGAAGACGAGGCGATAACTCGTGAGCACACGGAGATTATCCCTTTTCACTGTGGATATAACAAGAAAGCCATCCTCTCTAAAGTTTCTTACAACCCTCGAGTTGTTCAGATCCTAACAGATACAGGTAAAGTAGATGGTATTCATTTAGAATAATTGTAATGAGGATTCTTCTCACGCGCTCTTTGTCTTATTTATGACTGTTGTGTGCAATCTTTGCAAGTATCAGGTACACGGTCAAGTAAAAGATGTTCGAGAGAAGCAGGTTTGGTTTTCCACTGCTGAAACTTGACTACAGCTTTACTAAACATCTGTACCTTATTTCAAACTTGCATTATTAAGTAACTGGCTTATTCATTTGCTCTCCGCCGCCTGAAACATAGCGCTTCCTCAGCAGCTTTACATACTCCCACTTCATCATTCTAAGGGAATATCTGGGTAAGGTTTTCCTACCGTACTGGTTTCTAACACTAACCCTAACCTTGTAAACGGCTTTGATCCACTCGCCAAATGGTTGGCTAAGGGGGGCTTGGACCCTTCTTGGTTCTTGAGATTAAGTTAACCTCAAGAATCGTTGAAGTACTAATATCCCGCTTTCTTCCCGAATACCCCCTTACACCAAGGTAAAAACGCCTCTCCCAAGAAAATAACTATGAGCTTCAGGGCTCTGCCGACATCTCATTTATTGTAAACTTATAACTGAATAGCCCAACAAATCCATGATCAAATTTTTTGTTAATAGGAGGGGTATTTTGAGATTAATCAAGTAAAAGCAGTGAGTAAAGTAAGCCGCAATATGTGTTAACGGGCAAAACTATAGGGAAATACACGCAGAGAGAAACTGAGGTCTTCATTACTTGTTTAATATATCAGAGGGTGTTGGTAACTTCACCTACTATATGGACATGTATGAAGACGAAAACAACAACGTAACAGTCACACAATTCCCAAAGGAAGTTGGTTTGGGCCAAAAAATGTATTATGGCTTTCGAGTGGAGTCTGAAGATACTGATTTGGTTGTGTTCCCGGATGTTTGCAAGGCCACAGCATCGCCTAATTTCGACTCTACTCCGGACCACGTCATCATAGATAAAGCGTAAGTTACATATCTAGACTGAAATCTTATAGCCAATCCATGAGTTCCACGAACTCTTGCCTTACGAATATGGCCATGGAAAGACTTTTTTGCCGGGAAAAGACTCTGAAATAAAGAAATAAAAAGATTTTGATCGAGGGCTTATACATGATTTTAAAGTGTCACAAGCTCTTTGGAAACACCTTTTATACGTACTAAACACACATGAATAAAGTAGAAATCGTCAATTTCGCCTTATAGTATACTTATCCAGTTAGCAAGACACGTGACAATTAAATGGCCCAATTTTCCGTGGTTCAATCGTTAGGATTCTGACAGCGCAGTCGGATCACGCTCCAGAGCTCAAATCTTATGTGGGAACTGAGAAATTTCTTCCTTGTCCAAATCATCAGATATATTAACTGCGTTATAAAGAAGATCGGTTATACGTTTGACGGAGACGATATCATCAGTTGGACAAGGGTGAAATTGAGATTGATCAAATGTTAACTGTAATCTTTCTTTTTTTTTGTTTTTTTTTTTTAGCTGTTCAAAAGACAATACCTTACAATACAATTATGGTCAAAGCTCAGAACACTTCTTCAATATCGCTGCCTTTCGCTTCGCGGAAAGCTTTAATGATATCTATGTTCACTGCAAGTTGACGATTTGTCGCAAAGACGACGGCGAGTCAAGGTGTGCCAAAGGTTGTCAGCCCACAAGGAGAAGAACGAGATCAACGGAAGAGGACTTTGATGCCAGTCTCTACATTGGACCCCTGAAACCAAAAGTCGTTGAGAATAAAGCTGGTGAGTGAAAGAGAAGTGTTCACGGAAAATAATGGATACGTCCTAACTATCTACTATTTATTATCTACTTATTTACTATTATTATTTAATATATTTATTATATTTATTATTATTTACTATCTATTTATTTATTTATTTACTATTTTTTTTTTTTTTTATTTACTATCTGAATTTAGAGGTGTTTTGAGCGACAAGTTTGTCGCTTGCTTCATTTTTCTATAGCCGGTTTACCCCTTACAGATTTACCGGTATCCACAGCAGTCATATTGGTACAACTCTTAAACGAATTATTACTGTAGCCAACATATCCTTGGTCTATTCAGTTTATTGAATGTTTCATGTAAACTATTCCTATATTAATTTTTCTAAACTACTCGATCAGCCTGAGCTCTAACGCTTTTTTCTACCTCTCGATCTTTTCTGAGGTATCAGAATCGTTTAAAAGTAAGTTCAGCTCTGATGCTGATACCGGTTAAAATTTGAGGCTAACAACATTTTATTTCTGTCATTCAGAATCCGATTGCATGAAAGCGATTTATGAGGTTTTTTTTTTTTTTAAGTACTCCTACAGTCTTTAACTGATCAACTTTCTCTCTTCCTCCACACAGTGAAAGAGAACCAGTACAGCCAGCTTTAACTAATCAACTTTATCTCTCTTCTTCCACACAGTTAAAGAGAACCAGTACAACCAGTCAGACTCTGACAATAGTATGATTTCTATTGTGGGAATTCTTGTCGGAGTGTTAGGAACAGTTGCCATTGGGCTCATTATCTCTCTGATCGTCATTAGCCGACGTCGAAAATCCTCGGGCCAAGGATTGTCCCTAATTGTTAGTGAAGAAATGTAGACTGGTCTGCAGCAGGCTACAAGGGAGAAATGCGCATGCTCACTTCAAGAAGGGGTTGGCCGGATACCTTAAACTTGAAAGTTGCGTTCAGGATACAACGTGGTCTCTCTGTTGTAATGAGACATTTAATTTTCCTTTTTTTTCATTTTTCTTGCTCAAGGAATTTCCTCTATGTTATCGCTACGTAAGAGTAGAACTTGTGTCGGGACAACGTTGGCGCTGCTTCGCCGATGGTTTCACTGTCCACATTAACCTGCATTATGAATAGCACATTTTCTTATCCTCGGGAATCAACAAATTTTCAGTTGATTTCCAATGCAAAACAGTAACTTCACCTGCTTCTTTCCTCATTGAAAATAAGTTAAACTCTTACTTTTCCTGAGTGGCTGATAGGCAACGAGTTCTTTCTCTTTTCTATCTACCCTCCCCCCCCCTGTCATCATTCCGATAGTCCATCGTACACTCTGTTACTCTAGAAAGTTTTATTTTTCTCCTAACTATCCAGGAGTTTGCCTCATTTTAAAAGAGCATCGCTTTTGTGGAGCAAGCGAGGACTCTCAAATGTTCCCCAGAAACCTTTTGATGGCACCTAGACTTTGGCATCTAGCCTTGAAGTCTGTATCAAATCGCGTTGTCTTTTCAAAATTAAAAAATATTTACTTTTTTAGTTTTAAAAGTTTCGTTTTGAAATTTTTTTTTTGTACCATGCTGAATTTGTGGCATATCAAAGAAACAAGAGCCAACTCGCACAAAACTCTGCTGTAAATAGCTTACCATTCACTGATTATTTCATGGCCCTTGTCCCAATGGTTGCTCAATTGGGCTCGGTAAGAAATTCAGGAGTGGTTAACAGGGCATGAAAGGGTTACTTGGCATAGCCGTGTACTTAGCGGCTTGTTTAAAGGTTTTTGACCCTCTTGTATATTGCATCATACTGTGTCTTGTTTAAGACCGAACTTTATATTATCCATTGTGAGAGCTAAGTTCATCACACTTGTACTGTTTGATAAACATTTTGCCCTTCTCTTTACATTAAATTAAAGCAAACCTGCTGAGTCTAAACAAATCGATATTTAGGTTGAGTTCAGTCAAGCGATTCACAGAAGTAAACAAGGTGATCATGGAGGAAGAAGTTAGCATTTTAGCGCTGGAATGAAAACCAAACGAATTCGTAAACGTTTAATCTGTGGGTCAAGTTATATTTGAAAGTATAGCTAGAATCTTTCAGCTAATCCTCTTGTGAGATTGTCGTGACGTTAGCGTAGAGGTTGAATATTAGAAATAAAGCCGCTTTTACAAAGAGCAAAGGAATTAGCCTTGATACTCCTTTTGATAGAATGGTGAAGAAACCGTCTAAATAATCCGGTCACGTGTATTCTTGTCTGTTGGCAGATTTCACCTACTTTAGAGGCATACGTTCAAGTGCAAATGGTCGCCTTAGCAAGAGGCGAAAAACACCTTTAATTTAAGATTTGTGGTTACACTGTTTAAATAATCGCATCGTCGTCACAGCCATTCTGGCCCCAGTGTCAAACACCACTGAAGTTGCAAATGGATCAGTCGAAGTTAATTACACATGTTTGAATTAAACTTTAGTTTCATGCTTGGCCATGCATATTTGAGAGCGCGTGAGATTTTCAATTAATTAAGAAAGCTAAAAGGCTTCTGTCTAAATTTAGATTTATTTATCATGCAGTTTGTGCGGCTAAAGGGACAAAGAGACACGATTCCCAAGTCATAAATGTGTGCAGCAGTTAACACAACATATTGTGTACAACACTAGAAAAACCTCAGTTCCTGCTCGTCAGAAAGGTTAGAAAAATCTAAATTTGATCCAACCATACGATCTGAAGTTTAGCGAATAACCAAATAGGAGCAGCAATTTATTGTAATTAGCATATTGAACTTTGTTTTCCAAAGTACCCACTCTGTGAAAACACATGATTAAAGCCGCTAGTGCCAATATCAAAAGTCATCCACCACAAAGAAAAGAAAATCATTATTGCTGAAGGAGATGTTTTGTTTGTCTTTCTTTTTAATTTGTCGGGGGCAGCTCGAGCGCTAGACATTTCAGGCACACAGCATGCACGAACTACACTGTAATTCATTGTTATTCGTTCACGCTAGATAACCTCTCAATGTGTTACTGACATTAACAGTTCCTGTTATTCAAATCACTGTTTTGGCGGAGGCCTTATAGATTGATGAGATTGGTGTGGACTGACGATCGAACGCAAGTTTATGTGTATGAAATCTAGAATATTCTACTGTTGTGCTTCGATCAAAAGGGACCGCAGGGCGATTATTCTGTGGTTGTGAAGTTACTGGGCTGTTTGCAGATCTCGCTATCAGCTGTAAGATGCATTTCCATCAGAAGGTGCCATGAGGCTGAGATATCGCATCTGTGCATCAGCAATGGGAAAACTGAACTTGCTTGTGAAGACGAAATTGCTCTTCTGGTGTACAATCTACTCAGCATTTTTGATTAAGACAGAAGCAAATATTGCAGGTATGTATGGAGTTTTAGAGATTAGTCTAGCGCCGCTGAAGCTTACTGCCTTTTTGCGGAATCTATTTATAACAATCATTCAATACCGATTGGAGAATTTTGGACAAGTGTTCTCTTTATGCTGTGTTTTTGTACAGAAACCTATACTAGCACTAACTCTGAAAAGACAATCGGAAAAAAGAAATAAGAAAAGCGAAATCTTAAGTTTTCTTTCGTTATGTTTCTGCCGATAAATCCCTAACTTTGGAAAGCAAATGCCAAGGGAATTTACAAGTGGCCTTTAAGATTCTGAAAGTTTCTTTTGATTTTAAATAAGTGTCTTTGGACTTAAATTCTGACAAAACAGATTTCGGATTTCAAAGGGATTTTTAACGCTGTGCCCTCATCGCTAACATTCTTTTTGTAAAGTAATTTGCATCACATATACATTTTTATTGTGTATTTACACCCTTGTTTAGCAGTTCTTAATGGCGAGCGCTTTGTCGAATCTCTGTATTCTTTGATCAAAGTCTAGCCACACGCTAAACCACGGTGTCTTATCTATTCTAAATATCAATAAAGGCTTTTCACCCTTCAATAATTTTACATCTAAACAGCTGCTGCACGATGACAACGCATTAGAGTTTGTTCAGAGGCTTAAAAGAAAAACAACCAAAAAAAAAAACAAGACAGAGAAGGGAATTTCATTTCCGGCAAAATTTCAGTGTGCTTGGTTTGATCACAAATGTCGAACTCATTCCTTAAAACCTTTGGGAAATGCACTATTTGCAAAACTTGTTTTCTCAGAATATCCAAGAGAAAAGCCAAGTTCGAACTAACTAGCTTATGAATTTCCTTCTTGGAATCTGAGATGAATAATGGAAATTGCAATTTGTCAAATATTTTCCTTATGAATAAAGGCTGATAGTTTCGATAGAAACTGTTTGGGGTTGCGTCGGTGGGAGTAACGAAATAATTTGGATATATCAACAAAGTTGATATAATCAAGTTGATATATCCACATTTTCCTTATGTGTAAGTTTTCTTGCCAATCGTCTCCTTTTAATTTGATAATGTTATTACAATAAATTTTCTCTTGGAAAAAGAACAAATTAGCGCTAGTGCAATAGAACCCTATTAAGGGACCAGTTATTATTTGCCGCGGGGGGAGGGGGGTGTCCAGGGATTTTGGTTATCTTACGATAAAATTTACCTGATTCGCTCACTAGGCTTTGTAATATTGTTATGATTCCCCCCCCTCCCCAATTGGCGATTACTTTTCGATATTCTCCCTTGAAACTTTGAAACTTAGTTGGCGACGACTGATTCCCTTCCGTTCTCTTTGAAACTCCTTGTGATCCCCCCTCCTCCCTCCCCAACACCTCCGATCCCCCCGTCAGGCGATGACAACTGGTCCTTAACTTAAAATCCGTTTTCCTTGGTACAAATGAATTCCTGATCAGTTAACTTATAGCTCCCCTCCTTTCAAGCCAGTGTGCTGTTTTTGGTTCTTTTTCCAGTTCCATAGAGGACCTCTAATGTATCATAAAGTAACTTTCATATTTTGACATAATCGTACTTATTTTGCAGTTTGTTCTCCATCCAACACCAACATCGCAATTGACGCTCAATCTCCAGGTGTGATTTCAAAACCTACATTCCCTGATGGCTCCAGCAGAACTTCCTGCATCTGGCAAATCCAAGCTCCAGAGAATTTCCGATTGGCAATCACCATCGAAGCCCTGAGTCTGAACGGTCAGGACGATTATTTGGCCATTCGTGATGGTGCTACTACAGTCAGCCCTTTGATTGGCAAATATGGACCATGTACAACCGGCTCTCTTACACTTCTGTCCAGTGGGAGATCAGCTCTTCTTCAATTAGAGTCTGCTGTTCACAGGACCACTGACGAACTAAAACTCTCATACAGTCCAACTGATCCTGGTAAGAAGACTCACCTATGCTTGCACACCAAATGGTCGTGACAACCGGTTTTCCATTTAAAATTTTTGTTACCCATATTTGGTACATTCTCTTGTATCATCATATGATGTTAACAATGGAATGAGAACAAAGATAGAGAATATTAAAGATAACAAATTGACTCTCAAGAATAGCTTTTATGCTAGACTGGGAAGCCAAAAAGTAATTCGTCTTTCCCTTGTTCTGTCAATGCCAATTTCCAGGTCAGGGCTTACTGATGAGAAAATCTTTTAGGGAAGCCTACATAAATTATTATATTTCTCTTCCTTTTGAACTTTTTTTTATGCGTGGTTTTCTTTTTTTCATAATTTTGATCCCTCTTGTCTTGAGTTGAACGTATCTGTCGCCTTGGAGGAATCGGGTTTTGGTTGTGTCACGATAAAATTTACCTGGTCCCCTCCAGGAGGCTCTGTTATTTTGTTATGACCCCTGCCCCCTTACTGGCAGTTACATTGTACTCCGTTGGTGACAATTGATCCTCCCTTCGTTCTGTTCCCCCAGAAGACCATGTGTCCCTCCCCCGAACCCACTTCCCTCCCCCCAAGTGACCAATAACGACTGGTTCCTAATTTGATCGTCATTGCAATTTATCCACCAAAAGAAACCGACTGATAAACAAAAACAGCTTACTAGGGTGAATACTGAGAATTTTTTCTCTAACTATCCCTAACGTTTTACTTTGTTTAAAGCTTTGCTGATTTGCTGCGGAGGGATGACTGATTTTGACCTTAATTGACTTACATGATTCGGTTAAGAATTATCCTGAATCAGGGAAGGAAATTCAACCTATCCATTACAATATTCTTCAATTATTCCTTTATTACAGGCGACATCAACTGTGAAAATAGCGAAAATCCTCCAGGTAAGTCCAGCATTCTTTCTTTGAATCTATATCTCTCAGTTTCTATGCGGCACCTAAATTCATCATTAAACGGGCCTTGCTTTGCTACACGGCCCGCACAAATCGCTGTATTTGTCACCATTATCTGTAACTTTTTAATCACCAATCTCTTTTAGTCAGTGGGGAAATGAAAGTCTTTTAAATTTGATCTTATCATTAAATTGTCTGTTAAAATACATTAGCAACTGAACAACGATCTCGAAAGGACTCGTTTCATTTCCCTTCATATCGTGACCGGAAATGAGTTTTCAATTTCCTCAAACCTGGGTCCGCGCTGCAAATCACGGAATATCTGCTTTTCCTTCAATTTGAGGCTTGTTCCATTTGGATTAGGACCATAAACAGAGAAGGGAAGGGGAAGGGGGGAAATTACTTTTCAGACGGCCAAGAAAACAAGGTTGATAATAACTATCAAAGAGGAAGATTTTCTGTATGTAACAGCATGATCAGATAGTTCTGAGGCACTGTATGTGCCAACTCGCTAAGAGAAAAAAAAAGTGAACCTAACTGACCAGAAGAGCTCGGTTAATGGGATGGTCTAGCGAGCAGGCGTAATTATTTTTAAATTGGCGAGTTGCATGCTTGACTTCACAAATTATGTTGTGCCAGAGTTCTGTGAGAGTTCATGTCGTCTGTTTCGGACTTTCAGGCATTTGTAGCATCAACACTGAGCTAACAGGACTCTCGGGTTTTGTAACGACTCCTGACTTTCCCAGCAATTATGACGAAAACGAATATTGCCTATGGACAATCCTTGCCCCTCCTGGATACCGTCTGCAGTTTTCAATCCACTTTCTTGGCATTGAAGATGATCGATATTCTGGCCGAACCTGTGGCGATGACAGCATCTCTGTTAGCGAGTATCGTGGCAACGCCACCGAAGACATTATCAAGTTCTGTGGCTGTAAAAACTTATTTTCATTTGTTTCCTCTGAAGAGAAAATGTTTTTGACATTTAGGAGTTACAAGAGGAACAACTGGCCAGGCTTTTATGCCAGCTATAAAGCTTTGGGTAAGTATTTTAGGGAAAGTTTTACATGAACTAGCTCCATATTATTCACAATTTTGACAGCGTTTTTGCAACTCTTTTTGACCTAAGATAAATTTGAATTTGTGATACAGAATACAAAGAAAGCGTGTAAAAGAAATTTTTATGGTCAAACGCTTAAAATACCTTAAATAGCGCTGCTTACTTGATTGACAGGAATACGGTGGCCCAACAGCATTATTCAACGGCTTCTCTATAAGCTGATTGGCTGCCTATTTATTGCAAGGAATAAATAACTGTCTCCCACTCGAGAGAACAAAGCACCCGTAAGCAACCCCCCGATGAAATATTTTTTCTTGCTGTTTCTTTAAAAAAAAAAACAATTGACTCTTTTCTTGTTTTTTGTTCTAACACCTTCAAATAAGGCGCATTATTTTGCATTTCCGTGAAGAGAATCATTTTTTCAATTCTATTATTTATAATTACCTTGCGCACTTTAATCAATTTAAAATATTTATTTCAAAACCAACTTTTTTCTAAGACAAGGACATTCTGAGGATCTACTACGATGACAAATCACTCTCAATGAATTGCAGTCATTTCGATTATGTGTCGTTTCGCTAACCTTACGTTAGCAAAATGACCACAATTCCTCTCTCTCAATCACAAACACGTATCTTTTCAATTCCCTCCAGCCCCTGAGGATTGTCCTCGCGGTGAACTCGACTGCCCGCGAAAGAATGTTGAGCCGATTGCTTTCAATGCACAAAGTCAGGTCTGCACAATAATACCAAGTAGGTGCCTTCCTGTTTACATTTGATGATGATTTTCTCTACATTTCGTTTTTTGTCTCTACAGTAACAGTTGACTATTTCAAACATGAATTTTATTTCCTTCATATTTTCATTAGCAGTGGGGAAAATTCGAATGAGATACAAAACTAATCTCCCGTTAAATCACAAGTGCTAATAATTCAAACCATCTGGAAAACTTCTCGCAGAGTTAAACAGATTAATTTGAGTCACGAATTAATATCGTTTCGATACCACCTTTGCTTTTCTTTTTTGATAGTTGGTCACCTGATAGTTTTAGCCATTCTATAGGTGATTATTTACGTAGTTTAATGCAGTGTATCAGCATATGTACTTATATCTATATCTTATCTCTCGTTTTGTCTTCTCTCGAATAAACCGTTCCTAAGAAAATACAAGCTCTCGAGTGGATGTACAAAGGACATCATCAGCCATAACAAGTTCTTCATCAATGTTATCTACGCCATCTTCATCAAGAGCAACTTCAAAATATGGAACACCACTCAAAGAAACACAGGATACTATATCCTCGTCCCCTCTTTCACCCACCTTTATTTCAGCTACAAGCCACGATTTGATTTATACTCCTATTCAAGCTACCATATCTCCCAATAGGTCAGTGAGCTCATTTGGAAAGACAGTTGATGGTGATGATGTACAGCCCATAGGTCAATTAAAAAATTCAAGGCATTTTTCATTGTCTATCAGTCACGTTAAGGCGAGTCCTATTATAACGTCGTCCCATAACAAGGCCTTGATGACAAAACAAACAGAGGTTGGTGCGTCGTCGGGCTCATATCAAAGCGAGTACAAAATTCGTGAGACCCAGAGTAACTATATCACATCGACTAAAACAAGTGACTCGACAGCATTTCGCTCATCAGAAACTACTATAGGACAGCCAAGTACACGAGATCCACCAGTTACAATTACGCAGAGCCTTCTAAGAGGTAAGAGAACGATGAATTCTATTGCAATAAGTAGATTCACGGATGAAGCCTGAATCAAAAAGCCTGGTGTTTACATGCGGTATAATCGTTTGTCTGGCCATACGTTCTCTTGCGATGCCGATCATAACGTTTTGACAGCATACTGCGAGGGATCCCCTGAAGAAGATTTACAGTATGCGGTTGAAATATCGCGATCCAAACCAGTAATGAATGTATCATCATACAAAAGATTATGCTTAATATCCAGGGTTTTTTCACCACAATGCTAACCAAAAACCTTGTTTTACGATAATACCCTGATGGTTCGAAGACATTGAGATTACGTCATAAAGAAGAAGTTAACCGCCTCCCGGTTAGCTCAATGGATAGAGCGTTGGACTGCTGGGCGGGAGGTCGAGGGTTGAAGCTCCGGCCGGACCAACACTCAAGGTCTTAAAATAATTGCTAAGAATATGCTACCTTTCTATAACATCAAGAAATGGTTAGATATTCTAGTCTTCTCGGATAGAGACGAATAAATGGAGGTCCCGTCTCTTTCAGGGTTAGGGGTAGGAGACGTTAATTTCCCACGCACGAGATTACTGTGTGATGGATGTCCTCCCCTGGGGTGGGATGGGTGGGTTTATTGGGTGGACTACTCGCATGGTTCGCATATGTTCCGTTCTA